GTTTTGTCTTGAAATGTCTTGTTCACTCCGTCTATGATGATTGAAAGTTTTGCTGGGTATATTAGTCTAAGCTGACATCCACAGTCTCTTAGTGTCTGCATTATATCTGTCCAGGTCCTTTTGGCTTTCAAAGTCTCCAATGAGAAATTGGGTGTTATTCTAATGGGTTTGCCCTTATAAGTCACTTGGCCTTTTTCCTTTGCTGCTCTTCATATTCTTTCTTTATTTTATAGGTTTAGTTGTTTGATTATTATGTGATGAGGGGACTTTATTTGGTGGTCTAGTCTGTTTGGTATTCTATAGGCTTCTTGTATCTTCATAGTTATTTCCTTCTTTAAGTTGGGAAAGTTTTCTTTTATGATCTTGTTGAATATATTTTCTGTGCCTTTGACTTGGTATTCTTCTTCTTCCTCTATCCCTATTATTCTTAGGTTTGGTCTTTTCATGGTGTCCAAGATTTCTTGGACATTTTGCGTTATATGACTTTTTTGGCTTTGGTATTTTGGTATTTAAGGGATTTATTGCTTTCTTCTAATTTTTCATTCGTCTTTTCCTCTGTTTCTTTATAGATTTCTTCCAATTTTTTGTCTTTTTCTCAATTTCTTTATTGATCTCTTCCACTTTTTTGTTTGTCTTTTCCTCATTTTTATTTTTTCATTTTTTCTTGAAAGGCCTCTAGCATCTTCATGATGCTATTCTTAAGGTTGCTTTCTTCTGCTTCTTCTACCTTGTGATGTTCAGGTCTTGCTGTTGGAGGAGGGCTAGGTTCTGGTGATGCTGTATTGCTCTTTATGTTGCTGTATGTACCTCTGACTTGACGTCTGCCCATCACCTCTTCTAATAGGTGTGCCTGTGTCTGAGCAAGCTGCTGTTGGTTCACTCTGTGATTGTTGTGTCTGTGTCTCGGGGGCCCTTCTGTGTCTAATCTTAGCTCTTGGTCTAATTGGAGCAGGCAGATTCTGTGTCTCAGGGAGCTGCTCTTGGGTCAACCCAAGCTAGTTGATTCTGTGACTCATGGATCCGTTCTTGGTCTTATCAGGGCTCTTGGTCCAGTCAGAGATGACAGATCGTGTTTTTCTGGAAGCTTCTCTTGGTCCAATGAGAGATGGCAGATTCTACTTCTCAGAAAGCCACTCTGGTCTAATGAGGGCTGGCAGATTCCCTGTCTGCTGAGGTTACTCTTGGTCCAATGACACCTCTTTGTCCAATGAGAGCTCTCTCTGTAGGCCTGATGAGAGCTGTCTAGGCTGGATAAGAGCTGGGGGGTTGGTTTCCAAGCCTCGGGAAGTGGCTAGGGTTTCAGGCAGATGGGAATGGGCACAGGGCTTGTAGATTGCAGGGTATGCTGAGGGGTCTTGGTGAAGGGGGAGCCTTCCCACAGGAGCCCTGCCTGCTGGCCAGCAACTGGGGCTGAGTTGGGCAGGTGTTCCCAGGGAAAGACTGGGGCCCAGGGATGGGTCCTAGGGGCAGACCTCACTGGGTATGAACAGAGTCTCTCACCTCTAGGCCAGATCTATCTGATACTTTCTATACCTGCTGTAGTGTGCACAGTGTGGCAAACTTGTCAAAGTTATTGTATTTATTGTGAATGCTTTCTCCTGACTCTTAAAACATGCATCATGAAAAAGAAAGTGTTTTACCAGATGCTGGTAACAACTGATACCTTTCTGACCAAATTGACCATTCTAGGAATCAACACACCATGTCTTCCCTAATGGGACAAATTTTATTCTTCCTTTTTGCAATCATTTATATACCAAAAACTTATACACCAAAAGTAAATGGTGGACTCAGTTTCTTTCTCTTCTATAAACAGCACTATTTATTATTAATCTTGCATTTATATATACATAGTTCTTGATGAAAAAAATATTTTAATCATATTTTATTTGTCCTGAGGAAAAAGCAAAGCACATAAAAGAAATGAAATTGAAAGACCAATGTCCAGGCCTTTGTTCTTTCTGCTTACTCTTACAATGGCTCAGAGATGATTACTTGTGAGCTTGCAAATATCTCTTTGGTTCTTCTGGTAGTGAACTAAACCATGCTAACAACAGTATGCCATAGAATATTAATTTATCAAGTTCAGTTTCACACTATGCCATACAAGACACAATGATTGCCTCTCCCTTCCTTTTCCATTTCTTTTTCCAGCTTCTGTATTTTTTGATGTTGACATTTTAACTTCTTGCAATTGTGGTTACATTGGTATTAATCCTATATCAGTGACAAACTATCATATATTCTGTTAAGTTTAGACACATAACAATGCTAAATAGGAAACTGATTCAGCTTCAGGTTTCTCTATCTCTTCCCTCAATTCACCCCTGCACATCTGTCTGCTGTGCCATGATCACACCATGGTGAAAATAAAGCTTAGAATAATAACCCATCTGCCAAGGCCTCTTGGACACATGAATCCTCAAGCATTTCAATGTTTATGTTTTCTGGACTGCTTTCCCTACTAAGAAGTGTTAAGGAAGAATCTGTGCTTTTAGAATGAAAAACTATTTCCTTTATAAGGTGTGATTCCCAGGTAATGGGTATATGCATGTGAGCACAGGTGCCTCAAAGATCAGAGACATCAGATCCCCCAGAGCTGGTTACAGGTGGTTGTGAGCCTCTTGATGTGGGTGGTGGGAACCAAATTCAGATCCTGTGCAAGAGCAGCACATGCTCTTAAATGCTGAGCCATCTCTCCACCTCCATGAAACTTTCCTTTTATAGGACACACTCACTAATTCAGGAAATCATAACAACACATAACAGCAGAAAGTCCTGCAGTTAGATTGTCTAATTCCTCTTTTCTGTTGTTTGGGTTTGGACAATTTCCCAATGTGTTCAAATCTTAGTCTTCAGCAAGGTGCTCTTGAAAGGTGATTGAAGCATTAAGAGGTGGGGCCTAGAAGGAGGAAGTTGGGTCCATGATGGTAAACCCGTGGAAGAGATTCTAGGCCCTTTGCCCCCTCCATCCCTCTCTTTTTGCTTTCCAGCCTAAGTGAAGTCAGCAAATTCCTTCCTGTGAGTTTCTGCCCCAATGTGCTACGTAGACACAGGTCCAAAGCCACAGGGCTGAGTGATCATAGCCAGAGACCTCTGGAGCAAAATAAGCCTTTTCTTCTTAGAAGTGGATTGGCTTTAGTTCCAGTAACAGAAACTTTCAACTTAACTCTCCCATGAACATTCTGACTCCCTTGAAGAGAGAGCTTTTAAGATTTTGGCTGCATGCATTCTGCTCTAGCAGGTAGATGTTCTCTCACTTTACTATGCATAGATAACTACAGCATATTGACCTTCACCCCTCATCTTTCCTTTCGTCATCCTCCCCATCTTTAAGGATTTATGCCATTTTTATATTATGGACTTTCATTAAAAGGGAAGAAAAATGAGGAACAGAAAGAAATAGTTTTGATCATGCTATATCGTGAACCATGGCTCTACAAAAACAGACAGGCTTGTTGTTCCTTAAAATCATTTCATTCTTTATCACCACAAAATAAGATGAGTATGTATCAGTTACTTTTCACTGTTGTGATAAAACACCACAAAGCAACATGTAGAAGAAAAGAGGGGTTTTTTGCTTATGATTCCAGAGGGATGGAAATCCCTCATGGCAAGGAGGCATGACAGCCAGCAGCAGGCATGGTGACTGGGGCAGGAAGCTGAGATTTCAGATTCCCAACCAAAGCACAAAGCAAAGAGAACTGGAAAAAAAGAGGCTTTTAACTCTCGACACCTAGCCTGGTGGTTCACTTCCTCGATTAAGGGTGCACCCCCAGTTCTCCACAAGCAGAGTTATCAACTGGAACCCAAATGACTTTATTCCTGAGCCTAGGAGGGACAGTTCTCAAACAAACCATCACAAGTTGATTTTGTTTTTGAGTGCACCTTGAATTTTATTAATCCCATTGTTACAGCAATAGTCACACTTTACAACTTTCTACATTTTTTTCATTTATTTATTTGTTTGAGGGTGAGGAAGTACAGAAAAGGGGATAGGACAATTTACAAGAGATTATTTTCTTTCTTCATCCCAGGGATCAAAATTATCTTGTCAGACTTGGTGGCAAACACCCCTTTCCACTGAGCCATCCAGCTGGCCCCTGTTAAATCATTTTACTCTAAGATGATTTTGAAATTTAATAACCAGGTGCTCTGAGGACCCATGAGTAAAATGAACACTGAACCAAAGAGGCCACCTGCACATGAGAAGATAGTCTGTTGAACTGTAAATACTGCATCCATCCTTGACTTTTTAAATACATTTTGTTTTATTATCAGTAGTTTACATTGGGGTTGCCACAAACTAGGCAAGCACTTCACTACTGGCATAGAGTTCTGTCTCCACAAAAGACCTTTGCAAGGTCTGACTTTCTCAAATACTGGTTTTTAAGAAAGATTTCATGCCCAGTTTTGAATTACTATAAAAATGTTCAAACCATCTTTGCTACAAGATTTTTAATAACCTCACTAAATGTATCAGTGCTCTAAACAAAGTGATTAAATGTTTGACAAGAGTAATAAAAGAAGGGATTCAAAACAAGAGGTCACACATATGAGAAGTTATATTTTGGAAGCAGCATGTCTCAAAAAAAGTTTACAACTCCTAAATAGACACAGACATGTGCAGATGTCTTGCATGTAGATAGGATAATTATTCAATGTGACACAACAAAGATGCATATTTTCAGTTCTAAATACCTCCAACATTAAGGCATAAGTTTAATGAAATTGAGTAGTGTTCTAGTAATGGAGAGTTTTAATGCTATTTGAAGATACGTGGGAAATACTCATGGGCTTTGATTGAGTTAAAAGACAAAATGCTGTCTGAACATGAAGGCAGCTTTAAAGTTCAGTGTGGGATCACCATAGTCTTCCCTGGGAAAATCTTAAGTGCAACCCTGGTGTTCTGAAAATGCTGCCAGTAAATATTTTTGACATGAATAAAATAATTTTTGAGGTCCTTAAGGATAAGAAGGGAGTTCCTATAGTACTTCTTACGATTCAAAAGAACCAAATGCACACTCTGTCATGGGCTTGTGCAGGCCAATAGAAAACTCATTACAGCTTAGTTTTCAGTTCTCCGACATTCTCAGCCCCAGGACTTCTGTGCACATCCACGCACTCGCTTTTCTTCTCTGTGAGCTTCGTCTCTGCAAGTTCAGTTTCTGAAGAGTCAATTTCCCCAGGGAGTTGGCGCTTCCTCATGAGTATTAGAATGAAGAACGCTGGGAGAAAGCTCAAACCTCTAAGTACTGTAGGCACGCCAATGTAAATGTTCCTATTGAAAACAACTGATCTGTTAATATAATTCTTAATGAGTTCAGTGGAAGCTAACCTTTTATATTCTTACAGATCATTTATTGTTCAAAGAAAAACATCAGGTGATTATTTTGCCCATGTAATTTATGTAATCTACTTTGCTAAATTTTTAATTCTTTAGATTTGCTGAACTTGTCTAAGTTAAGCATGAAGAATGTAAAAGTTTCCTGAAATTAATTAGATAATTTTCCCTTTAGGCATTTCTGAGAAAAACTTTTATACTGTTATAAGCATCTGTTCTTTGTATATTTGATTAAATATGTCTTCAGTTTTCTGGACTTAATATGTTTGGGGAAATAGGTATTGTGACATGTATATTTCTAAATAACTGTGAAATCATTCTTTCATGTTCTCAACATGTTTATAGGAAAATCTGGTATGAAGGATAGTGCTGTCAATTTTACACAATCTAGAGTCTCCTGGGAAGGAAGTTTCAGTGAAGGCCTGTATGGAATATGTTGGCCAATAAACGTATCTGTGGGAGATACTTTGATTACATTAATTGAGGTGAGAAGAAATAGCACACAGTGGGTAGCACCATTCCTTAGGCAGGAAATCCTGAACTACTTTAGCACAGAGAAAATGATCATCACTACGTCTACAGTGGGAAAGTATAAATATGTTATATATGTGGAGATGCTTAAGACCAAATACAACAGTCTAGAAATACAATTCAGATTTTTTTCAGGATGGGTAATAGATTAATAAATATCTTAGTTAATTTTCCTGCCACTGTTATAAAAGAGCCTGACAAAATCAGTTTGAGGGAAATAGGGTGAATTTGCTCACAATTCTAGTTCACCATTTGGGGATGTAAAGGCAACTGGAGCTTTGTCCAACACAGATACACTGACAGAAGTAGTTGAGGCCTTCCACTCTTTTACTACAAGCACGCCAGACTGAGAATGGGATAGCAGCCACCCCAGCCATGCACACTTGGGGACAGGGCAATAGCCAGCACTTTTCTCTCCCAGAATTTCTCAGTGTCCTCCTCACCCAGAAACAGACAGAACTGGGTCATACCTTCAGAGAGCCATAATTCCTTTTGACTGAAGTGGTTTTACAAGCAACGAGGAGCACAGTGCAGTCTATAGCAAACAAAGGTTCTCTGTGGGCTTTTGGGGGGCCTGCTGCCCTATAGGGACAGCAAGGTAACAGCCTAAGCCTGGCTCAAGATCAGCCTATCATGACCTCTGTGCGTAGGTCAGCAGGGAACCCACAATTCTTTCCTATACTGTTAGTGACAGGTGCCTGTGTAGCACTGTGAGTGGTGGGAACCATGCAGGTAACTGCTTTTAGTCTAAACAGCAGCATGAAAGCACACAACTGGATGCACCTAGATCTCAGAGGTCTGCTGGTTCTTGAGGTTAATGGTTTCGGTTGTGTGTATGTGTGACAATATCCTCCCCCTCTGTGAAGCTCTCAGCCGGTTTGTACCACAACCGCTCTACTGAGCCAGGTAATGTCCACGAGGCAGCCAACCACTAAGCGCAGTGGAGCACCTATGGGTTCCCAGAGATGAGACCGTCAGTCAAATTCAGGGAGCAGGCCCCTTCTCCAGGAGGCCCCTGGCAACAGCACCTGGCGTGCTGTTAAACTGCAAAGGCCGTCCACAGACTTGGGTTCTTACTATATCAGGCTGCAAGCATGAGAGATCTGTGACCTTCCCAGGAGCTAGAACGTCAGAATCCATGCTGCTTGAATGTGCCGGGACTGCCATACTGACCCCTGTGGAAGGGAGGAGTCCTTCTCTCTATTCATGGGTATGGGGTAGTGGGAGCTGAGATATTTGTTGCCACCTACGGCAAAATTGTCCCTAGTCTCTGGATCTTGCTGTCCTGTTTATCTCCAGTGTTCTGCCATGCTAGCTCAGCTCCAGATGCAGCTCTCCCCCTACTGCTCCAGGGCCTCTACACAGACATCTGCTCCCTTTAAAAAGTATTATGAAGGCTTAGGTTAGGAAACCCACTCATGCTTAATTGTATCAAACACTTTAGAAATAATGGGAAATATTAAAATATATAAATAAGGAAGTTATAACATCCATGTGCATTCTTAAAATGAAGCCAAATGTCATCTTATCACTCAAGAAAATGTTAGACATGAATGAGGACAGTTTATGCACTACCTATGGAGGTCTCAAAAGTTAACTTTACCTGAAGTTATTTGTATCATACATCCTGCATGCCCCTGGTTCACCACATTTCAGAGTCCCCCAGTGTAAACAGGTTCTGTCTACCAAAGCGCCAAAGTAAATAGGTGCTGGGATGCCAGCTGCAGTGAGGAGAGAAAGAAAAACAGCCCGTTGCCAGGAAGAGAGAAGAGAGAGATATGTGTTATTTTATTTGGAAGTACTGCCAGTTCAGTATTAAACAAAAAACAACATACCAAAATATGCATCAATGCCTCTCCACTTTTAGAAATTATAATTTAATGTAAAGTTTTTAGATAACAACAAATAAAACAATGTAAAAAATGCTAATAAAGTATATTTTACTTTATAACCATGAACCCATGTATTTTCTCTAATGCTTTGTACTACTTTTCTGTTCATTTAACTACCAAAATCATTTCCTTCTTGTTTTATTCTTGAATCTACTATGAGATGAAATGTATAATTAAGTATAGGTAATCTTTGGAAAGACAAGGGGAAACATTTTTCACCTCTGTGGTTACCTCATTCTCAGACTAATTAAAAATTGCCATTTCCAATCACAAGGGCTTTAAACTGGAGTTCAGGGTTATGTGGACAGAGCACATGTATGTTAAAGATACTACAAGGTTATCGTAATTTCCTGGATGTGGACAGTTGGGATAGTGCAGATCCAGAGACAAATTATCTTTTCTCCTCTTTTTTTTCATGCATTGGCCCTTCCTTGTGTCTGGCCTCATGTCCATATATAACAATCACATGGAACCTTTGAGGAGATGTGGTGATTTAACAGGTCACTAGCCTCCACCCACCCAAACCCTAAGAATGCCATCAGATAGCACCTGAGCCTACAGCAGAGAATTCCCTGCTTTGCTGTCACCAACCTAGCTGACATTCCCACAGATGTATTTGAGAAGTGCCTTATTCATGACTTCCTGTGTTCTCCAACTATAAACATCACTAACATCGCCATGTTGAAAACTGATATTTGGATGACCTGAAACTGTGTTCCCATTGTGGTGACTCATCTTTGATCCTAGAATAAAACCTCTTATTCCCTGTAAGGTGAGGGTTGTGATTTGGGTTAACAAGATAGTTGTTATCTTTTTATTCAGAGAAAACTAACTAGTTTACTAAGTACTTAGTATAGTATTGGTCTGATATGTTAGGAAATTGTTCATACCAAATACTCTTGTACAAAATGCATGTAATCCAATTCCTAGTGACTTCTCTTCAGACTTGATACTCCTGAAAAATACATACACAGAAATAAAAGTACAACAAGCAAACCCGTATCTGTCTGAGTATCCTTCCAATGACCGTCATAGTTCATGATCCTAATGGTTAAGCTTTTCATCCTGTGGTGAGGACAATATAGCTCTACTGCTAAGCCCAAACAGAGGAAGGCATATAACTTCTGAAAGTTGTCCTGTGACCTCCACATATCTAAAGCACACACACCACACTAAAGGTTTTTAAAAATCATACATTAAAACATAAATGAGTCACATTTTTCACATCCAGCTACAGAGTCAACTTCAGAGAGTAAGGCAATTGAGAAGAGTGTGAGGCATGGAAGTGGGAACAGGCATTCAGTAAACATGAGAGTTTTAACAGAAGAGTATAACTGCTCACATGCCCTTCTCCTATGACCATCCTCCTCTATGAGGAAAACTCAATCTTATCAACTGAGCATGCTGATCTGGAACAGAGGTACCTGGAGTAGTGAAGGAGAAAGCAGACATCATGTAGCCACATCAGTTGAATCAGCCTGGAGCATGATGGGGTGACAGATGTCACAGCCAAATCTCCCTCACGTGTAAGAACCAGTAATACTTGATGCATTTATCTGTGCCTGAACCTATGAACAAGGCATATACCACATCTCCATTTGTGTGAATATAAGAATAGTATATGTTACCATGGAAAATTAATACATATATATATATGTATATATATATATATGTATATCCTAATATATATCCTATTCCACTATAGGTTATGATGGGTAGAAGCAAGGGAACGAAAGAACCAAGGGAGGGAAGCGAAGGAAAGGGGAGGGGAAGAGAGAGGATGGGAGCGAAAAGGAAAGGAAAAGAGAGAAGAGGAGAGGAGAGGAGGAGGGGAGGCGAGGGGCAAGGAGGAGAGGAGAAGAGGAAAGGAGAAGAGAGGAGAGGAGACAAGAGAAGAGAAGAGAAGAGAAGAGAAAAGAAGAGAAGAGAAGAGCAAAGGGAAGAGAAGAGAAGACAGGTGTGAGGAGAGGGGAGTGGAGGGGAGGAGAGCAGAACAGAGGAGAGTAGAGGAGGGGAGGGAGAGGAGAGGAGAGATGTGAGGGAAGAATAGGAGGGAAGTGAAGAAGAAAAGGCAAAGGGATCTTGGAATGGAGGAGAAGGAGAAGGGATGGGATAGAAAGGGAATGTGGGCAAGGTAACAGAAAAAAGCACAGGGAAGGGAAGGAAGGATGGAGAAGCTTGGTCCATCCTATAAGGATAAAATGTTATGAATCACACATCATAGTTAACTTGACTTTGCTTCTAAATTCCAGTGAGACAAGAAAAGAAGACTTCAGCTGTTTTCCAATTGTTAGTGGGTGTGAAATTTGCTAGTCTGGAAAGAACACGTGCTAATTATGAAAAACCTTGAGATGTGGCTCTGCTCTTCCTCACTTCTTTTAGAAGTTTCAGTATCAAATATTGCATTGCTGTACCCATGTTTAGAGAGTGCCTATTATTGTATTCATGTATTCCTGTACCTCACTGTTAGAGAGTAACTGCAATTGCACTCATCTCTATTGGTTAGGTAGTATCTATTTTTGCATTCATGTTTTTTTGTTAAAGACAGGTTGAGCTCAGGATGTCAAGGGAGCCTGGTCACTTTTACACAGAGGATTTCACTCTCTGCAAGTTAGTTAGCTGAGCCTAGGAAGTGAATGCTAGACAACTCCTCTCTCCCTGTTAAAACAAGATGTCCCTTAATGTGGGCTTAAGACATAAGGAGAGAAAATAGGAAAGGGCAGGCAGGAAAATTCCAGAAAGCTTTAAATAACTGTTAAATAGAGTAATGCTCAGTATAAGAACATTGATAAGGTATTTCAGAGCATTGAGGTTCTGGGAACCTTGACTCTAAGAGCCTTTCTTGGGAAAAGAAATTTTGGTAACTGACCAAAATAGCTAAATGGCATTGTGGGGTGCTCAGTGTGTAAGGTTGCTTGCCACAAAGGCTAGACGACCAAGAACCCAGGAACATATGTAAAAAAATAGTTAAAAAGCTCAATTCAGGGACATACATCTGTAATCTCAGCATTCTCATAGTGAAATAGGAGAAAACAGAATTGCTTGGGAACTTGAGGGCCTGGTATGCTGGAGTACACAGCCAGGCCCCCCCCCCACACACACACACTCACAACACACACACACACACACACACACACACACACACACACACACACACACACACCATTTATTCACATATGCACATACTACTGAGAAGGAAAGAGAGAAAGATAAATGAAAGATTTACTTATTACCTTAGAAAAACCATATACCCAGGAATGGCTGCTAGTGAGTGGATGAGACTGCCAATTAGTGCCAGTGTGAAAAAGTACTGCAGCATGATAGTACAGTCATAGCCTTTCTTACACAGCCCAAGGATTGCAGATGAGTTTTCTGAAGACCCAATGCAGCTGCAGTTTTGAAACACCTGTCAAAGAAAGCAAAGTCTTATTTAAAGAAGAAAAATATTGGGCATAAACCTTCAATATTTTCTACAGGACCAGTTAGACCAAAATGGAGCATGTTGGGGCCGATGATATGACTCAGAGGAAGAGCACTCATCTAGAATGAATGAGGACCAAGTGGAGCACAAAGTTCATTAAATAATAAATAAAGAGTAAAACAGAGGTTAGTTTCCCCCTTTACTTCCTTCCTTTTCGTTTTGGTATCCTTGAATTCTATCATAAAATATAAAGGGGTAGATTTAAAATACTGGTACATTCTTCTAAATTCATGGAGTAAATTTTCAAAAAAAATCAATTATCCTGAAAGCACACTTTATTTTATTTTATACTTATATTTATTTTCTTGTTTGTTTGGTTTTTCTTGCAGGTGTGTTTACGTTTGTGTGTGTGTGTGTGTGTGTGTGTGTGTGTGTGTGTGTGTGTGTGTGTGTGTGTGCGCACACCTGTCTGTGTGTGAACACATGTGTATCATGGCATACATGTAGAAGTCAGGGGATAAGTTATGGACTTAGTTCTATTCCTCTGCCGTGTAGGTCTCCAGGTTGTAGTTCTGATGGCAAGGCTGGTGGCAAATGCCTTTACTCACTAAGCCAACATTTTAGCCTGCAAATAATTTTTTAAAAAATCAATAAATACTGTTATGTTTTGTTTTGACCCGAGTACTAAGTACTAAAACAGAATGTGTTTCAGAATACTGATGGAATAGCTAGGTGCTTACTAATAGTCATGTCCCCAAGAAAAAGAGTTGATTTTAACAATAAAGTCAAATTTTGTTTGAATTGTTATGTTTCTTAGTCTGAATAAGAATCAAAATTTATATTTCACTTTGATTACCAACCAACTCTGTAAGTATTATTTATGAGCGAGAATTGTTGAGACCAAGGTTGGATAAAGCACAGGGACAAATAGCCAAACAAATGGAAACACATGAACTATGAACCAATAGCCGAGGAGCCCCCAAATGGATCAGGCCCTCTGGATAAGTGAGACAGTTGATTAGCTTGACCTGTTCTGGAGGCATCCAGGCAGTGGGACCGGGTCCTGTACTCAGTGCATGAGTTGGCTGTTTGAAACCTGGGGCTTACACAGGGACACTTGGCTCAGTCTGGGAGGAGGGGACTGGACCTGCCTGGACTGAATCTACCAGGTTGAACTCAATCCTCAGGGGAGTCTTTGCACTGGAGTAGATGGGAATTGGGGGTGAACTGGGGGGAAGGCGGGTGGGGGGGCTGGAGGGGGGGAGAACAAGGGAATCATGGCTGATATGTAGAATTAAATTAAATTATAAAATTTTAAAAAATTATGTTATATGTTATATGTTGTTATAGTATACAAAACTAATTTTGTACTGATTAAAAGGTAGAAATTTAAAAAAATGCTTAACTATTTCCTGCTAAACTACCATGAGGAGATGGCACAGTCTATAAAGTCCTGCACGAGCATGATGACCTGAGTTTAGATACCAGCACACGTGAGAAAGATGCACGTGTGGAGGATGTGCGTGCAACACTGGTGCTTTGAAAATGGGAACAGTGACTCCTTGGGGATCACTTGCCAGGCAGCCTAACAGAATCAGCAAATTCCAGGCCATGAGGTTCTGTCTCAAAAGCACAAAGTGGGTGGGATCTGAGAGTCAACAGTGAGGTTGTCTTCTGACCTCCATGTGCACACGCACCTGCATACATGCACACACACACACACACACACACACACACACACACACACAAACTACAATAAACAAATAAATAAATATAAGACGTTCATGATACCAAAAGATAAGTTTTCTGCCTGCCTCAACTACATAGCTCATTTGAGGTCAGCCTGGGTTTCGTGAGATCCTATCACAAAAGAGGCCGATTCTGTTCAGAGTATTTTAAAGTTTTAATTTTAATGCTTACTTATGTGTCTGCTTCTCTGTCTGTGTGTATACAAGCAGGCGCATGTAGGTGCCTGAGGTGTCAGATTGCCAGGAGCTGGAGTTGGTCAATGCTCCATATGGGTGCTGGGAAGTAAACAGGTCCTCTGAAAGACCAGCAAGTGCTCTTAACAGCTAAGCTAGCATCAAATCCCGTCCAGAGCGTTTTAACTCCAAACATTTGAATAATGGTCTCAACTTCTTTGAAATTACAAAATAATTCCCAGACTCTGTCAAGGTTTTATATAACATCTAGGAATTGTAAGGTCAGGTATAAATATATAAAGGAAATTTAGTTATTCATAAAATATACTAATTTCTTTTAAGCATGGACTAATTTTTGCTTTATAGCAGATATAGGCTTAGATCATAGCACATATTAGTGTGGCACAGAAAACATCAGCTCAGATCACTGCAAGGGTGTTTACCGTGTTGATTCCTGTTCCAACAGACTTCTCACAGCCTGCAAGGCAGGCTGACATGTATGCTAGGCCATTGTCTCCACACACTGGATCCCACGTTTTAGTTAAGCAGTTACACCTTGTGTTGCAGTCAGCAAGGACCATATTCTCCACATACAAAGGCTGCTGGATTCTGAAATGATTGTAAATAATGTTAGGGACACTTAAAAGCTACCCAAGCACCACTTTATTTCCTTCTCTTCATCTCAGCATGTACACACACACACACACACACACACACACACACACACACACACACACACAAATAAACAAACAGGAGAGAGAAAGAGAAAAAGAGACACAGAGAGACTGAGACAGAGAGAGAAACATTTCAGAAATACTCCAAATAGCAATGTGTGGTCTCTGTACTATGTTTTGGCGACATAAATTATCTGCTCTGGTGGTCACATAACTGTTTTTTCAATTACTTCAGAAACAAACATTAAGTGCCTACCACACAGAAAAACACTGTGATTGTAGAGCTAAAAATGAAGATGGTAATCTCTCATTGATCTCCATGATGGGAAATAATGAAAGAAGGCTGTGAACAAAATCTGCATTTCCATTGCTAAGATAGATGCTTCATTTAGCCTAAAAAACAGAGTGGTTTGGATAACCAGACATGCTGTTCTGAGATATAGAGAACTCAGCACTGAGAATGGGATTTAAGAGGATAATGTGGGAGTCTAGAGTCTGAATTCACATCCTGTCACTCAAACAGTGTGAAGGCAGCAGGACTGGAGATGGAGTCAGTACATACAACTCTACTTTGGCATTGTGGAAGGAATTTTCTGTAAACTCATTAATTCCCTGTTTCTATTTTCACATCTACAAAGTGAACAGAACATTACTTTCTTAAAAAGAGATCCAAATCAGTAATTATATGTGTGTATATATATAGTTATTTATGATTTTATATTTGAAATTATTCAAATCATATGATTCATAAGGATTTTGAAAGGAAATTTTTTTTAATCTTTCTCTGTCTCTGTGTGTGTGTTTGTGTGTGTGTGAGTGTGTAAGCACACATGTATAATGACAACATGCATATGGAGGTCAGAAGATAATCTTCCACCTTGTTAGAGACAGAGTTCCCAGATGTTCACTGCTGCAAATGTCATACTAGCAGTCTCATGACCTTTCAGGTTTCCCTGCCTGTGCCTCTAAGCTCACATGAGGACTGCTGGGATTACAGACACTCTACCCACATTCAGAGGGCCTAGTGTGGTCCCCTGCAGCCTCCCCAGCTATCAGTCCTGAGCTAATGAGCTCCCACCAGCTTGGGTCATCTATCTCTGTGGTTTTTCCCATCATGAACCTGATTCCCCCTTTCTCCTATAATCCTTCCTCCCTCTCTTCAACTGAACTCCAGGATCTTGGCCAAGTGCTTGGCTGTGGGTCTCTGCATCTGCATCAGTCACTGGGTCTAGGTTCTATGATGACAATAAGGGTAGATACCAATCTGAGTACAGGGTGTGGGAGACAGCTGAGTGGATTGATGTGTTTGTGGGTCCCCTGGCAATGGGACCAGGACTTAACCTGGGTACATGAACTGGTTTTTTGGAGCCCATTCCCTGTGGTGCAATGCCTTACTCAGCCTTGATGCAGGGAGAGGGGTTAGGTTGGGCCTGAACTTGGTTTGCCATCCTGTGTTGACTACACAAGGGAGGTCTTACTCCCTATGAGGAGAGGGTTGGAGTGGGATGAGGGGATATTGAGGGGAGTGAGAAAAGGGAAGCATGGGGAACAGGGAACAGGGAACAGGGATTGGTATGTAAAAGGAAGGAATTTTTTTTTAATAAAAATCCCTAGATACTCTAGCATGCCAAGCTGTAGGTAGGTTCTGGGGATCTGAAGTCAGTCCTTCCTGCCTGCTCAGCAAGCACTTTACCAATGAGTCATTTCCCCAGCCTTTTAAAGGAACCTGCAAGTTTATGCTTTATTCATTTTAACTGATTGGTTAGTTGTATAATTGTCCCCTAAGAAAAGTTTTAAATTTCCCATGCTATGCAAAATATGACCAGACATCCCTTAAAATGCAAAATCTAAGTCTACAGAATACATGAGATATAACTATACCAGTGACATATATAAATACATTCATTTGCTGACATACCATGTATTCAATTCAATTATGCTAAATTTGTGCCTATTGTAGAAACCTCTAAAGGCTCACTGGCCTGTATAGTGTACTTTGAATGCTATCTGTTTATGGAGTACAAAATACATGGATAATTTAGGCTGCAAAGCTCTAGATTATTTTCTTTATTGCACTTCAAAGTAGACTAGGGTTTACCATGATAACCATCCATATATATGTGAAATCATAAACTTACTCACTGATCATCTCCAGACTTATTTAATAAGCTTATAACTTATATACGCTGGTATAACATTGATGGATGGGAGAAAAATAAAAGATAACCATGTATCACTACCATTAAGTTGTAATAAAATGATATGGTCATACAGAATTCTTCAAGAAAATGGACTAGCTATTCTAAAAAATACTATGATCTTCATTAGGAAACATACCCATCATAAGAGATAGTTAAGCCAGCAACTGGGAAATTATCACAGGTCATTAAGAAGTAAAAGAAAAATAGAAAGAATTCAGTCAGGGTTAGGCAGAAAGCTATGTATGCCGCTTTCTTCATAGAAATCTTGAACTTCTTCATAATCAAGCCACCAATTATATATCCAACAAATATTGGAGGTAAGGTATAAAGACCTATGAATGCAAGTAAAATAGTATTTTTAGAAGACAGCAGGAAAAATGTTACCAATTTGTCTCAAATAACTTACTTAACAAAATATTTAGCTCTAATATACAGTGATCTTAACCCCTACTCAATTCACATGTTACTATTGTGTACAAAGAGGTTTTCAAATGTCCTGTAATGTCACTTTAAAAAGTATTAGCATTTATTTAATCATAGGCAGCAGGTTGTAAACACCTGATAAGCATCACACACATATACACACATAAACGAATGCATGCATGTACATGTCTATGACATTCTATTTTTCATGTAATTACCCCTCTGTTTTGTAGTAATTTGACTCAGCTCTGGGTGATTTTGAAGGTAGTTGCTGAGTCGATGCTTATCAAGTGTAGAACATTTTGTGCATTGTTTACTCTGCCTAGCTTTATTGCTGAGTCTCCTTCCTCAGCAAAAATCAAAGAAAAAAAAAAGAAAAGGGAAGAGAAAATCCTGGCTAGGTTGCATTTATACACCAGCACCAAGCTTGGAGGAATCCATCCATCCTTTGAGCTCCTTAACATTGCATTTGATTTTATACATCTGGGGGTAGGGACTGGAATTTGGACTTTCAGAGATCCTTAGATAATGTGGATGCTGGCAGCCTATGATCATCAGTTATTAAGAGTAAAATGAACCCAGAAAAAAATCCAAATTTGGGTAGGATCTCTGGATTTAGTGTACTAATAAAAAAAAAGCAGAGTGTGGCTGCACAGGATCCTCAGACCACCTGGGGACCAAGCAACTGAATTAGGAGTAATGTACAAGGCAGGACTTGAAGCACAGAAGTAAAATCTAGAAGTACAATACAGAAACCCAGTGAGTTAACTCTGTATTCCTCTTTGAATTAACATACTGCCTCTTGAAAATTGATTGATATGAGCACCCCCCCAATATTTCCATAATGATGACAATTTTCATTCTGATTGGAGAATACAGAGGATATTTCTGGCCTCTTCCTTTCCCTGTCCTTTCTTGGTTTCCCTGGAGACTACAAAGAATAAGTTTATAAGAACAGCCGAGCAGATTTCAATTCTGTTGTAGTTTACTATTTGCGTTATCTTACTGTTTCTCTTGTCCTTGGGATTCTGATTGTCATGTTCTTGTGGGAGGGGAAGTGCTACTGAAGAAATAATGAGACTACATACCTATGAGAAAGACTATCTCTGCAGTTGATTTTCCATACTGCTGTTCCAGGTATTTAGGCATGAAGGTAACAATAATGACAATTGCGTTGAGGTGGAGCACACTTAGGAGGATGAAAAGCATGTAAATTGAATTGCAGAAGAGGCTCTTCATGAATGGCAAGAAATCTGAAACAAAAGTGCCAAGATCATCAAGCTAACTTGACCTTGCATGTTGTGTCCAGTGTTCTAAAACCTTCTCACAGATTCTGTGGGGTAGCTCAAATGCATTTGATAAATACATTTTACCTCTTTGAGTATCATTGTTTAAGTCACCTCTAGAAGTTAGTGATGCAACTGGCCATATAAGAATCAGAACGCAATTGTGCCATCAAGCAAAACTATAAGGAGATGGAATCCTGTCTGTGGCTATACAATTTCATTTGCTTTTCTCTTTCCCTTCTATTAATATCCTGTATTCACTAGAGAGTGACTAGTCTGTTCTCTGGAATCTGTTAGGGACTCTCTGATGAAATTTGAGTTCAGACACTGATGTTATCACTCCTTTGTACAAGAACAGATAAGCTAAAAGCTTAGGAAGTCTCCAGGAATCTTGCTGAGTCTCAACCAACCACTTCACAATAGAACATTCATCAGAAGCTCCTACGGATATTTTTAAACATCTCAACACAAGGGTGTCAGTATAAGGAATGCTGACTCATTTGGTGTAAATAAAGCTCCAAGTGATATAACCAGAACTCCTTCTTGTTTAAAAAGCTGAGGGTCCGTTTTGTAGCCTGTCTCTAGTAAATGGATTGGATCTCACTGAAAATAGTTTGACTGAAATTCACACTTAATAGTCACTTTCCTTATCCTGTTTTGGTAATTTGAAATAAAATGCACCCCATAGGTAGTTTCACATAGGAAGGTGTGGCTTCATTGGAGTAGGTGTGGCCCTATTGGAGGAAGTATGACACTGTGGAGGTAGTCTTTAAGGTATCCTATGCTCAAGCTACACTGAGTGCTTCTACACAGACTGCTTCTACAGCCTGCCGATCAAAATACAGAATTCTCAGCGCCTTCTCCTGTTCCATGTCTGATCGCATACCACTCACCATGACAATAATATTCTAAACCTCTAAACTGTAAGGGAGCCCCAATTAAATGTTTTCCTTTCTAAGAGTTGCTATGGTCATGGTCTTTCTTCACAGCAATAGAAACCATAACTAACACAAGTTGGTATCAGTGATGGGAGTATTGCTGTGATACAATAGACCATTTTTTTTGAGGAATATGACTTTAGGATTATGGATTAGAAAAGCAATTGAATGATATAAATTCGGATTAATGGGTCATCCTAGTAGGAACATGAAAGACAGTGGTGTTGACGGTTATTTGAACTCTAGGAATTTCAGAAAATAATTTTAGTATGTTACCTAAAGATCATGTGATATTTTGATGAACAATGTGGCTGCTTTTTGCCCTTGTCCATAGAATCTACCTGAGACTAAAGTGAAGAAATGTGGATTAATTCTGTTACAGAGGAAATCTCAATACAACCTAGTATAGACTCTGTAAATGAACAGGCTGAGCAAGTGAGAAACACAAAACATAGATTACAAGAAAGGGCTCCTGGAAGTGGAAAGGGGCTAAGTCCTGTGTTCAAGGAGATAAACAGATTAAGAAATGGTATAGAGGGAGTAGTGACCTTAGGGCAACAACCCACCCAGCTAACCTTCCAACTTGTGGAAAGGAATTAAGGAAAAACTTATGTAAATTTGTGATGGTACACACCTTTATACCAGCACTCAGGAGACAAAGGCAAGGGGATATATGAGCTTGAGGCCAGCTTGTTTTTCAGATTGAGATTCAGGATAGCCAAGCTCAGGCAGTGAAGGAAACCACTGAGAACAGAAAGCTAGATATGATGTAATTAAATGAGGGAGGAATGTTATAGCCTCAGCAAGCTACAGTACCTGGCAGCTTTGGCCATATGGTTCTGGTTTTAGAGTCAAGGATAGAAGAAAGGGGTTATGAAATCTTCCTCTACATTTAAGGAAAGCATCTGAGACCAGGCATGTGTCAGTGGTATTCCTGCATCGAGGTCTAGAGAGGCCATTACATGCAGCTATGAAGTTGAAGACTGACTGCCTTGGAGACCCCAAGATGTTGGAGATACCAGAGTAATGAGCTACTTGTCAAGAAGAGCTGCTAACAGGGAGTGGAACCAGCCCAAAAGAAAGAAGTGTGCTGCAGTCAACAAAGCTGAAAAGAGTTGAAGATCTGAAGAGAGCTTTGACATCAGACATGGAGATGCAGGCTTGGGAGTTTACCCAGCTGGTTTTCAGTCTTGCTTTGGTCCAGTATTTCCTGACTATCCTCCCTTTCCTACCTTTTGGAATGGTAATGTATATACTGTTCCATTATATGTTTAAAGTACATGATCTGCTTGTTTATTTTGATTTTACAGGGGATTACAGTTAAGAGATTGCATGGATCTCAGAAGAGACTTTGAACTTAAGAATTTTAAATAAACAAATGAGCAGAACACCTCTAGACCATGGAATTAATCCCAATTTTGTAACAGATGGAACAAGTTATGGCTTCTACATCAAGAAAAAGCCAATTCATTCAAAAGGCAATAACTCCAACACGCCTGTGTCTTGGCTTAGTCCTTCATCAGAACCCTTGGTTGTGATAGGTTGACCTTTATCAATGATGGTTGAATCCCTACTGCACAATCCTGTGGCTCCCAGCAAGAACGGAAATGAAAACAAGACCCATCCTTTTGTTGCATACAAGAAACACACCACAACATCAAAGATAGACGTTACCTGAGAGCAAAGTACTGGAAAAAGATTTTTCAACAAATGAGTCTAAGAAACAAGCTTCTGTAGCCATTCTAACATGTGGTAAAATTTAGTTCAAATCAAAATTAATCAGGCAACATGAGAAAGGACACTTCATACTCACCAAAGGAAAAATCAATCAAGATGATGTTTCAATTCTTAACATAAATGCCCCTAATACAAGGACACACATGGTAATAAAAGAAATATAACTAAAGCTAAAATCACACATTGATAGTAGGGGACTTCAATACCTCATTCTTACCAATAGTCAGGTTATCCAGACAAAAACTAAACAGAAATACTGGAGCTAAGAGACATAATAAACAAAATAGACCTAACAGATATCTACAGAATATTTCACAGAAACATGGAAGAATATACCTTCTTCTCAATACCTCAAGAAAATTTCTCCAAAACTGACACATATTCAGCCACAGGAAAGTCTCAACATACACAAGAAACTTGAAATATCTACCTGTGTCCTATCAGATCACCATGGACTAAAGCTTTATTTCAACAACAGAGACAACAGAAAGCCTACAACCTCAAGGAAACTTTACAACTTCCTAAAGAATGACTACTGACTGGATCAAGGCAGAAATAAAGAAAGAAATTAAAGAACTCCTAGAATCAAAGGAAATGAATACACAACATACTCAAAGTTATGGGACACAATAAAAGTAATGCTAATAAGAAAGTTCACAGCACTAAGTGGCTACATAAAGAAATTGGAGACAACAATAAAAGAACTTCTAGAGATATCGCCATCTCTGATTTCAAGCTCTATGACAGAGCTATAGTAATAATAACTGCAAGTATTGGCATAAAAAACAGACATGTTGATCACTGAAATATAATCCAATATCCAGAAATAAATCCACACACCTATGGACACCTGGTTTTTTATAAAGAAGCTAGAAATATACAATGGAAAATGAAAGCATCTTCAACAAACAGTGCTGGTCCAATTGGATATCTGCATGTAGAAAAATGAAAATAGATCTATATTCATCACCTTGCACAAAACACAAGTCCAAGTGGATAAAAGACCTCAACATAAGAATAGATACACTGAACCTGATAGAAGAGAAAGTGAGAGATAGCCTTGGCTACATTGGCAAAGGAGACAACTTCCTTAATAGAATATCAGTAGCACAGTCATTAAGACAAACAATTAATAAATGGGATCTCATGAAACTGAAGAGCTTATGTATGCAAAGGACACTATCAATATAAAAAAATTACAGCCTAGTAAATGGGAAAACATTTCAAACAACTCCATATCTGATAGAGGGCTAATATACAAAATATGTAAAGAACTTGAGAAACTAAATACCAAGAAAACAAATAATCCAACTGAAAATGGGGTACAGCCCTAAACAGAGAATTCTCAACAGAGGAATCTCAAATAGCTGAGCAACACTTAAAGAAATGTTCATCATCCTTAGCCATCAGTGAAATGCAAATCAAAATGACTCTGAGATTCCATCTCACACCTGTCAGAATGGCTAAGATCAGTAACAGAAGTGACAGCTCATGATGGCAAGGAGTAGAGCAAGGGGAACACTCCTCCATTGCTGGTCTGAGTGTATTACAGCCACTATGGAAATCAATATGGCAGTGATATCCTCAGAAAACTGGGAATCTATCTACCTCAAAACCCAGCTATACCACCATTCTACCACAAGGACACTTTTTCAACTATGTCCATAACATCTTTATTCATAATAACCAGAAAGTGGAAGCAACCTAAATGTCCCTCAACCAAAGAATGGATAAAGAAGATGTGGTATATTTCTACAATGGAGTATTACTCACTGTTAAATGAATGACATCATGAAAGTTGCAGTAAAATGCTCAGAGTTAGAAAAAAATCATCCTGAGTGAGGTAACTCAGACCTAGAAAGACAAACATGGCATGTACTCGCTCATAAGTGGATATTAGTTGTTGAGTCAATTATAATCATGCTACAATCCATAGACCCAGGAAGGCTACCTCACAAGGAGGGCCCTAAGGGGGACTAGTGGATCTTCCTAGGAAGGAAAATAAAAAAGATTTTGGAAGTAGACTGGGATAGGTGGCAATGGGAACAGGAGTGATCCAGTGAGGGAGACTAATGGAGGGAGACAGTATGGGAATAGATGTCTGGAATTGGAGGGCATTTGGTTGGGTAACGTAGAAACCTAGTGCATTAGAAACTTGCAGGATTCTAAGAAGATGACTCTAGTGAGGACTTGTAGTAAAGGGGCATTTGCAGCATGAACCAGCCACCCTCTGTAAACAGGCAAGACTTCCAGAGGAAGGACTAGAACAACAACCCAGCCACAAAATCTTTGACCTATAATCTATCCCAACTGCAAAATGTGGTGAGACACTGGAGAGGTAGAACCTACGGGAGTTGCCAACCAATGACCAGTCTAATTTGAGACCCACATCACTAGAGGGAGCCTATGCTCATTACAGCCTGGATGACCAGGAGGCTGGAGAGCCCAAAGATCTATGATAAAAAAAATCAATAAAATGATTACTAATAATGTTCTTATATACTCATAGATCTGGGCCTAGTTCAATCATAATCAAAGAGGCTTCCACCAGCAGCTGATGGGAGGAAATACAAAGACCCACAGCCAAACATTAGGTAGAGAGCCCACACTGGAAGTCTCCATTGGGTCACTCCCCTTAGAACTTGGCGAAGCCTGCAAAAATGAAAGAAATGTAGGAGCCAGAGGGTTCAAGGACACCAGGAGAACATAGTCCACAGATTTCAACTAATTAGGTCTGGTAAAGGCTCACAGCATCTGAAGGAGCAATCACAGAGCATGCATGGGTCTACACTAGGTCATCTACATATATGTTATTGTTGTTTGCTTGGTGTTTTTGTGGGACTCCTAACAGTGGAAGTGGGGGTGTCTCTGATTCTTTTGCCTGTTCTTGGAACTTGTTTCCTCCTGCTGCATTGTCTCAGGTAGCCTTGATGTGTGGATTTGTCCCTAGTCTTATTGCATCTTGTTATGCCATGTTCGGTGGATATCCCTGGGAGGCCTACATTTTTCTGAAGGGAAACAGAGGAGGAGTGGATCTGTGGGAGAGGGGAAGTTGGAGGGATCTGGGAGGAGTGGTGGAAGGGGATACTGTGGTCAGGATATATTAAAAAATTAAAACTAAAAACAAAAAATCAATATGTTTATATTGCAGATCATACAGTCAAATATAAAAATAATTATTAGGTCTTTCAGGAGAATTATTAACATAACCATGATTCTAAGAATGTTCAAGCCTCTAACTGGATGCCAGTTTGACTAGCACCTCAGCAATAGTCAATAGTGTTTAATGGAGATGTATGATTGTTCAGTGCATATCATTGTTGGAGGATATGAGTAGTGGAGGAAATACAAATACGATCATTAAAATGCTGACCACAGTAGTCTATGCCAGAGCAGTACAGAAACCCAAGAATATAACATACTGTTTATCTCATTTGATACATTAAGAAATATACCCTTCCTATCCTCCAAGTGTACACTTTATGAATTACAGAGCCCAAGCATATCTCTTGATAATGCTACAAAGGTCACCACACACAACTGTGAAATTAGTGCCAAGGTTTAAGAACGGGCAGTCTTGAACACTCAGCTTCCCACCTTAGTCTCTACAGGAGCGTTACTACTCTGCATCTTAGGTTAATAACGTTCTTGCTTGTTTCACAACAGTCTGTTCCTTAGGGAACAGTTCTCCTGGAAACTATCACACACCTTCAAATACAAAGGATCATATCACCTCTTATGTTTTCTCTTCCAGCCTTAACTTCAAGGATGCTCATTGCTAAAAAGACATTTTTATTATCAAACTACACTGTTACCTTAGTAGAGATATTTCTCTCCCATTATCTTTTGCTTGAATTTCTGGTTATTCATGTTTTTTTTAACTTGGATTAATATCTTGTGCAAAATAGGCTTTTCAAAATGAGAAAATTATATTTGCTTATTGAATTTTCAGATTAACTTGAATTTTTCATAAAGTCTAATCTAAAATAAGCTGGTTACAAATTATGTCAGTTGTTCACAAGTGGTAAATTTGGAAGAAGTTTAACACATCTGAGTAGGGACCATTAGTGACAAACTATCTTAACTCAGCACAGTATGACAAACACTCCACTAACTGCAGACCCATCTAAACCAAATACAGGGTTTAAAGTTTTCCTGTTTGCCTTTAGTGATTCCACGTTTTTCCTCCTTGGCTTTTCCTCGATGTTTCTCTTCTCTGTCACTTTTAGTCACATCCACATTATCCTCTAGTCCTTCCTTTGGGAGTGTTTTAGGGAAAAAGAAAAAGGGGATGCTGGTCAGGATATTCACTCCAGCACAAATCAAAAAGCCGACCCACCAAGCACCGACCCAACGTGTATCAGTGGGAGTTATGGTCAGGTCATCTGTGGATAAATACAAACATTTTATTAGCTTGCACCATTCCTTCCTGTGTAAACTGCAGAAAATTATTAAGGATCCTAAGCCATCTAAACACAAAAAAAATTGTATATTATTGTAAACTTGTTACCCATTAATTATTCTTATTTGAACCTTGTACTTCTGATCCTCTGCCTCTGCTTCCTAAATGCTAGGGTTACAGGGACCTGCCATCTGACTTGGCTAGTTCAAACCTTTAGAAAAAGTGTCTGCCCTTGATCAGTTGTAATTCAGTAAGAAGAAAGGTTCTGGGGTGCTGCGTGGTGTAAAAGGTTTAAACTTCATTTCAAAAAGACAGGAAAAAGATTTGAGGCATATCTAATGAACTGACTTTAACCTGATGTGGTCATATCTCAAAACATCACAGAAGGAGAGGGAGAGGCTAGAGAGACAGTTCAGTGCCTAAGACTTATTGATGCTCTTGTGTAGATCCTGAGTTCTATTCTCAGAACCCACATTGAAACTCACTACTGTCTGCAATTCTGATTACAAGAGATTTGAAATCCTCTTCTGACCTCAGCAGGTACACACACAAACAATGTGCATGAGCACACACAAACACACACACACACACACACACACACACACACACACACACACACACACACATATATGTAGATAGATAGATAATAAAATAAAATATCACATGGTATCCAATTATTTTTTCTTTCGTATATTCATTAAGAAAATTAATTTTATCTAGCAGTATAGGTTATGTATATGAGTAGTAAATGAGTATTGCTATCTGTCTTGTGAAAACTTTACAAATTGGTGCTTATCACATAACAGAAAGAGCTATTTTATTATCCACAATGACTGCCTCATTGAGAAAACCCTATGTGAGTAAGTCTTTTGAGAGCAAGTTGTGACTGAAATGTGCTGAGAGATTGGCAGACTTTTTATCAGAAGGTGACATTTTATCTTTGTTTCTGCTCCTCTTAGGTTAGCAATCTGTAAGCAGGGATAATTGTCAACTGAGGATCAAAGGAGGCAGTGGCATAGCATTCTGGAGCATTCTCCCACATTCTAGGGACTGGACTGTATAAATACAATGTATTACCTGTATTCACAGACCCAGCATCTACATAAATGTTTGCAGAAAAGGTTGCCAACGTAAGTCCAATTAAAGGGCCAATGACCGTTCCAATTTTTAAAATCCCTGGAAGAAAGCAAAGACAGGAAGTTACATAACCACACAAAGAATTTTCTTGCACACACACACACACACACACACACACACACACACACACACTCACACAAGCATTGAGATTGAATTGTTTTCAATTTTATTTTCATTTCTTTGCAGAGCTGGATATCAAATCTAATAGTCTAGGCAAGTGCTCTAGAACTTGGCTACACTCCCAACTACCTCAGATATTTTTATATTCAACATATAAAGAAATTAACCTTTGTATTATTTTACACATACATATATTTATTTCTTTAAATATTGAGAAACTACCATTGTTTCAATATGAGTTACTGTGGATTACCACTAGAGTCTGAAAGAACGCTCAGATGCAGGGCATGGTGGTGAATCTTCAAGTCATCTGAAGTAGAAATATAGCTCATTACTCATTCTGTTTTGCTTCCCAGTCTCAAGATTAATGGTTTTATTCTACCCATCCTTCCACTATAATGAGCTGCCTCTTGGCAGGCCTCCAAACCACACATTTTAGTGACATAGGCCAGAATTCCAAAGCTATGAGCCAAATGAATCCTGCTGCTAGAGTTTTCCTGCCTGGCCCACAGTCAGGATAAATCTCTATCACCCACCAGTCCCACGGCCGCTCAGACCCGTCCAAGTAAACTTATATTGGTTACAAACTTTATGGCCGTGGCAGGCTTCTTGCTAACTGTTCTTACAGCTTAAATTAATCCATTTCTATTAATCTATACCTTGCCACATGGCTCGTGGCTTACCAGCATCTTCACATGCTGTTTCTCATCATGGCGGCTGGCAGTGTCTCTCTGACTCAGCCTTCCACTTCCCAGCTTTATTCTCCTCCTTGTCCCACCTACACTTCCTGCCTAGCCAATGGCCAATCAGTGTTTTATTTATTGACTAATCAGCAACACATTTGCCATACAGAACATCCCACAGCACTGACTTGCTGCAAAACCTACAGTTAGTCTAACTGAGATTTAACTATCTGAGCTTTCTCACAGTACCCAACAGAGATAACATCACCCCCTAAACAGCAGGAAGCAATTCTAAGAAAACGACGCCCCTTCTCCCTTAGGTTTCATAATTCTCAGGGTTATGGATGATGGTTATAGGGTTGGGGATGGAAGGAAATATTAAACTCAGTATTCTTAAAAAAAAAAAAGAGAGAAAAAAAGGAAAAGAAGAAATGGAATGGATAGGTATAAGATATTATGGTAGATTATTGTTTATACTAGTAAACAAATTTAGTAAAATAGCAGCCTTAAATAATTTGCACTGTACAAGCCGGGCGGTAGTGGCGCACACCTTTAATCCCAGCACTCGGGAGGCAGAGCCAGGCGGATCTCTGTGAGTTCGAGGACAGCCTGGGCTACCAAGTGAGTTCCAGGAAAGGCGCAAAGCTACACAGAGAAACCCTGTCTCGAAAAAAAGAAAAAAAAAATAATAATTTGCACTGTAATGGATTCTTATATGTTGATACAAATGTAAACTATTTTTATATTCCTGTTTAAGATAATTTGTATATTGATACAAATACAGAACTATATTTGTTATAATGTACATATATTTCTACTCTTATTTGAAATATTTGCATATTGATACAAATGTAAATTTATATCTGTCATACTTTATGTATGTTCTACTTCTGTTTAGGATATTCGGTATATTGATATATATTTAAGATTATTGTCATATTGCATATCGCACTATATACTCCTACCTCTGTTATAACATCTTGTGTATTGTCACAATTTTGAAGTCATCGTTCTTTACCATACACTTGCTTATAGACTATTTACCTTGTTTACATGAAGTCTTAGTCCTTAGGTTATTTTGGTAGATATGACTTATAGATTTATAGTCACCTATGCTTGTCATCTCTATAGTTACGTTAGTTAGGTTATCCAGATTTACAGATACATAGGTCAGAGGGACAGGTAATCTTCAAACACTTCATAGACCTAGAGAATATGGCATTTAAATAACTTAGAATTCTGTTGATGTGAGACACAATTGCTCCTGGCTGCACCAATTTGATCCCGAGAGAATGTTGGGCTTCTAAGACATTTCCATTTGGAAGTTTGTCTTCTTGGCACAAAATGGCCTACTGGGCAAAGAACTGCCCTTGCCTCGACAGCTGACAGTACAAATGCAATGCTATCCTTTCTGGACAAGCAGGACTCAAGGAAAGCGACCACTGTACTCTGCCAAGACAGGGTAAGATGGTCTTTCAGAATTCCTGCTTCTGAAAATGGTCTGTCAGATACTTTAGGTCTGTAGCCAATTTGAATGCACCAACAATGCTGAGAAACATTAGGTGACTGTCCAGCCTGCCAGCTGTCTCGGTCTACTCTCGCAAGATTCCCGAAAGTTGCTTGCATCCATCTACCATTTCTCAGGTACCATTATATTCCTTCTCAGGTCTTTGATGGGATTGAAGACTAGCAGTTATAGTTACAACTTAGTAGATAGAACATATTAAGTATTAGATTCAGGTTCTTTAGGATAGGACACCTTTTGGAATGATCTTTGTAACATGCCATTTACCTATGCTCTATACTTCTCTGGATTTTAGTATGTGTTTCTTGCTTGATATTGTTTGCATTGGTTGTAGTTCCATCTTATCTAGGTCATTATCCCTCATTATTCCTGGACAATATTTGATAACCATTCCTTTGTATATAGTCTTGTATTAGGTTAGAACTTTCTTATTTAGATAAAAAGGGGGAGATGTAGTGGGTAGCCATTCCAGCTTTGATCTGGAAGTTCCAACCCCCACTGAGACTTCGGCAACTGTCACGCCTACAAGGCGGGGCAAGGGAGGCGCCTGGGGACCCAAGATCTGGATCGGTGGGTGCGCTCTGGTTCCGGGACCCTGGATAGTGGAGGTGGACCGAGCAGAGCTCCAGAGAACACCGCTGGACTGTGATACACCTTCCCCAGAACCCGTGACCTACCTATCCCTTAATTTGTAAGTTACACCATTAAATAAATCTCCTTTTAACTACGTGGAGTGGCCTTAATAATTTCGCCAATAGAATCCTTTCTCTTCATAAATCATTATCTCACATATTTATTAATGTGATAGAAATCTGATTGTCACAGAAGCTTTATCACTTAAAGCCACATTCCAAATTCTCTTTTACGCTGAGTAAAGGCAAAGACTGTACCATCACAGGCAGTTCCATCAAAGCCATGATGCGAGCAACCTCCTTTTGATATTTCCATAGCCCTGTTTTCAAAGGGACTCTGATAGTTAGCTATAATTTTCACCTTGACACAATGTTGAATTACCTGAGGGTAGAGTCTTAATGAAGTATTGTCTACAATGGGTTTACCTGTGGCATGTCCATAGAAGACATTAATTAATTAAGTTAATTGATATGAGAAGATGTAGTGGGTAGCTGTCCCAGCTTTGACCTGGAGTACTACCCCTAGTGAGGCTTCTGGTAACTGCCATGCCTACCTATGACCTGCCCCTGGGGTGGGGCTGAGAAAGGAGCCCTTAAGACCCAAGATCCAGATGTGCCAGCCCTCTTGGTTCCTTGTGATCCTGGATGCTGGATGGCAGACCCAATCAGAGTTCTCCAGAGATCCCCGCTGTACCACACCTCACCTTTCCCAGATCCTGTAACCAACCCTTTTACTGGCTGTAAATTACCCCAAAATAAACCTCCTTTTCACTACATGGAGTTGCCTTGTTAATCCCCACATTAAGAAGCAGCAGCCCACTGTGGGCGGCTCCATTCCCTAGTCGGGGAGTCATCAGCTGTGTAAGAGTGGGAAAAGAGCTGAGCACAACCAAGCAGTCAAAGACATAAGCATGCATAATTCACTCCCTCTGCTCTTGTGGGTGTGGCCAGCTGCTTCAAGCTCCAGCTACCGTGACTTCTCTGTTCACTTACAGTGGTGAACTGTAAGCCAAATGAACCCCTTACTCTCCAAAGTTGCAATTTCTCACAGCAGCAGAAATGAAACTAGCACAGCTTCACAAGCAGTGCGAGCTGTGATGAATTTCCTGTGATGTGTCTTCATCAAAGCTCTTCTCTTGAAACTTCCTTCCAAAGAGAGAATGTGTCCTCATAACAGCACTTCTCTTGGATGCTATCCTGGTCCTCTTTCTTTTTTACATGTTTTTTTCATTTATTTTACATGCCGACCACAATTTCCCCTCCCTCCATTCCTCCCGTTTCCTCCGCCCAACTCCCATCTACCCACTTCCCCTTCCGCTGGTCTTCTTTCTTATCTTATTATTGTTTTCATTTTTTTGCTCCCTTCCAACCTCACCTGGCTTCTTTGAAACGACCACCAGCATCTCCCAAATTATCTCTGCTGAGCCATCCCTACTCATAGAAAAACCAAATACAAACAACTTCAACTTCTGTCTTCTCTTTACTTTAAATTTTGTTTTTTCCTCCTCCCCTGTGGTTCTGTGTGTTAGTCCTCCTCTGTGTGCCTGACTTCTCAGTACCAAACCCTTCTGTCTTCCTTGTTCTCTCTAACACTCCGCACTGTTTGATGCCCTCTATCCAATGATTCCTGCAAGATTTCCAACTCCACTGTTCATTCCTGCCCTCCACTGTCTGCCTTGACTCCTCCCTTCTCACTCTGCTCAGATCTTCCTGATTCTAAGATCCTCTCTTGGCACAACTGAACTCCATCATAGACGACCTTTTCCAGTTTTGATCTTTATTTTCCTAATGTACTTGACTTTGTTGGCCAGCTCCTTATCATCTGCTTCCTCCTAACAGCTCTCCAAACTATATGTTTACTGTGCTCTTTCTTCCCATGGAAATATTGTTTGACTTTTCTTTCTTTCACTCTACTCACTAAGTAGAAGAATCCCCCACTGTGTGGACCTATGGATTCAAGGTAAATATATGTCTTCCCAAGGCAACTTCATTTATTCTTGATTAAACTCATTGTCTAGCATAGATAATTCTCAGTTTTTACATTTGGCTTCTTAAGCCATAGAGGGATGCATGAAAATGCATTCCTAATTTCTTACTTGTTTTTCAGTTAGTTGATTATTTATATATATAATATTTATGTAATTACATAGCTATTTATTTATGAAACTAAGCTATTTACATACTAAATGGAAGATTCAATCATTATGTATCTTACTCACTTTACTATAATAATTATATTTTTAACTTTTTATTGGTTCTTTGTGGATTTAATATTATGTATCCCTATTGCATTCATCTTCCCATCCCTTGGTATCTACCTTCTGCCTTTGCAATCCCCCCCCCCCGAAAAAAAGTAAAATTTAAAAGGAAAAATTCCTATTGTGGAAGCTGTAGTGTGACACAGTGAGTCAAACAGTACACCCTTTAGTCTATACATCTTTACTTGAGAGTGTTAATTGTAATGAGTCATTGTTCTGGGAAGAGGTCTCTGGCTTCTGCTGTGTTATAGACACTGGGCCCTCACTGGCGCTCCTCTTAGATATCCTGTTGTTGCCCTTCGATATCCTGCAGCTTTGAATCTGCAGGACTGGCCCCTTCTCATGCTCTAGCAGTTTCATAGATGGGGTAGACGTTGGGGTGGGCCAACTCACATCCCTGGTTCTGGGCCTGAGTAGGAGGTGGGTTGATGAGCCCACAAGCTCTCCCATATCTTTGACCACCAGAGCAAGCTCTCCAGCACTGCCTTAGCTAGCTCATCCAATGAAGCAGGAGGCAAGGGGCGGGGCCAGTTCTCCTGCTCTCACTCCCTCACCCTCAGAGAGCAGGCTCACCCTCACTCATACCTCCAGAGCCAGCTCTACTGTGTTGCCCAGGTGAGGTGCAGGGCCCACTCTCCTGAGTGCTGCATCTGGTGAGGGGCAGGGCCTGCTCTCCTGCTCTCATTCCCCAGAGGCCAGCTCTCCTGCCTGCTGCAATGGCAAGGGACAGAGGGCAAGAAGTGGGCAAGGAGGGGGAGTGTGGGGGTGTGTGGTCATCTCTTCCTCACCCACACCACTAACTACATGGCAGATGAATAGTATGGTGGGCCAGCTCTCCCACTCTCATATTCTCGGGGCCAGCTCACCCACACCCCACCATCACCAGAGTCAGCTGTACTCTGCCGCCCTGGAGAGGTGCAGAGCCCACTCTCCCAAGAGCTGCAGTCAATGAGGGGTAGGTCCAAATCTGTGAGTACTACCCTCACAGCCATCATGGTAACAGGAGCCCTGGACATCAACACAGACTGTGGCTGCAACAGGGCTGTGGACCCAGACATGGCCCTTGGCAGCAGCCCAGGCCCAGATATTACCATGGCCCCAGGTGTCAAGCAGGTCACCCACCTCAGCAAGCTCCTCACTGCATTCACCTCTTGAGATCTGCCTCTCTCCATAGAACACAAACCATTTGCCTCTCTCTCTCTCTCTCTCTCTCTCTCTCTCTCTCTCTCTCTCTCTCTCTCTCTCTCTCCCCCCCCCCCCCCACCACCATATGTTTGCTCACCATAATGACATGGCACTGAATGGGACTGTGGTTTCTCCTACCTGCCTGGGGCAAGTGGCCCCAGGGGGGCATGTGGGTCTCCTTCACATGCCCAGTCCTAACTGTGCCAGGCGAGCATGTGCTTTCTTCTCAATTATTACATTTCATATGTATATAATTTTTCCCTAGAGTTTTGATAAAGAAATCTATATATAGTTTAACAGTTTATTGTAGGAAAGTGCTTGTATTTTTTTTCTTAGTTGTCTGTGAAGAAATCTAAAGAGAATGACTAGATACACACCTGAAAAGATTATTGTCAAACTAGTAAGTTTCCAGAAAGTGGAAAAGTTATTTTTTATAATTTAATTCATCTTGATTTATCTTAAGCTTATTCCTGTGATCTCTTATTCCCTTTGGTTTCTGTTTGGTTGGTTTTTTAAGTAATATGTATACATATAATGAAAAATATACCTATATACAAGATTATGGATGATTTGTAATCAACTACAGATGGATTGACTCAAGAACATAAGCAAATTATTCATAAAAATTTAGATCATTTAGAAGAAAACATAAGAAGGTGAACACTAAATTGACTCTTGCCTGCAAGATGCACAGTTTTTTTTTTATAATTTCAAGTAATACAACTAAAAGAATGACTTGGCTATTTGTTAAAGAACCCTGTCTAGGCTGAGGGGTTATAAGGAAGGACACTGTCATTAACTCCACAGAGGATCAGGGTGCAGAGCCCCGATTAGTAAAAAAGTGCAGATGGAAAATAAGAAATCAGTTGGTGAATATGGTTGAGAAGACATGATTATTCAAACAATATTTTCAATACTGCTTTAAACTGCAAAAATGCAAAAAGAAAAAACCCACAGGGCCAGGCAGACAGCTCAGCAGGTAAAAGCACTTGTCCACCAAACCTGGCCTGAGGATGGCAAGCCGATTCCCAAAAGCTGTCTTCTGATCACCACACTGGCATGAAAGTGCACACACAGGCAGACACACACACACAGAGAGAGAGAGAGAGAGAGAGAGAGAGAGAGAGAGAGAGAGAGAGAGAGAGAGAGAGAGGCGGGAGGGGGCAGACAGAGGGAGAGAGACAGAGACAGAGAGAGAGGGAACAAAAAATGTAAAACTATATTTTAAAATACTACAAACACAAAATGGCCAATAATGAAGTTGTAATAACTTATGGATGAAAGAATAAGAACATAAAAGCAGAAAAATAGAAAAGAACAATTGAATCTAAGAAACATGTTCCAGGAAATATTGCTGGATCTCTAACGGTTTAGGGATAGTGTGGCAGCATCAGAGGACTGCAGGGTCCATAGTTCAGAGGGATCTCTAACAGTGAGAAGCTGCATAATGAAGCAGCTTGTCTGGATCTGCCATTTAATTCCCCCATTGAACAATCTTATGACCAATGGTTCCATAGCACTCAGCTCATGGCTCTGGAAACTATAATGTGTCCAAATCAATAACTGATTTCTACCCTATGCTATGCTAATAATGATCCCAAGTCTGGTTTTCAAACTTACCAATATATAAAGGGGAGTTTTCAGATTTGGCAAAATCTTCTATGTAGGAAATACCCAAGGGCATGATGGGAGTTTCACCAGCTCCACGGATAACATTTCCTACCATTACATATATCCACATTGAGGATTTAATTTCTTTCATGCACTCTGCATTGAAACAGAAAACTGGATGAGTATTTTGACAGTTAGTTCAAATTTTTCTGTAATAATTCTAAAGGGCACAAGCTCATGATAATCATTCAGTGACTTATGTTACTGTGCTATGTAGGAGGTTTTCTTTTAGGGGGCCACCAACCAGTTCCCAAATCATGGCACAGAGACTTCTTATTAGTTATGAATCCTTGGCCTAGCTTAGGATCATTTCTGCCTAGCTCTCTTTAACTTAAATTAACCTGTCTCTGTTTCTCTACCTTTTACCTCAGGGCTTTTTTATTTTTCTTTCTTTCTGTATGTCTTACTTCCCCGCTTCCCCCAGTGTCTGGCTGGTGGCGGCTGCCTGACTTCTGGTCCCGGGTGTATCCCTCTCTTTCTTCCTTATTCTTTTCTCCTTCTCTTCAATCCTCGATTTCTCCTCCTACATATTCTCTCTGCCCACCAGCCCTGCCTATCCTTCTACTGCCTAGCTATTGGCTGTTCAGCTTTTTAAGAGACCAATCAGGTGCTTTAAGCAGGCAAGGTGAAATAAATGCAAATCAACTTTACATAATTAAACAAATCAGTAGAAACAAATGTGACACATCTTTACATCATTAACAAAGGCAGCAGAAGCAAGGGTAACACACCTTCACATGGCTAAAGTAATATTCTGCAGCACAAACAAATGTAACACATCTTTTCCTAGTTAAAATAATAGTTCATAACAATGCTGTCTGTGAATCAGTGAGTCACCCCTACTGTGCATTTGAAAGAATACTTTGCAATGGAGTGTAAGTGCTGTGCTGGAGCCAGTTCCCACTTGGGTGGGAGAGATGACTCTACAGATAGACACCACTTCCAAAGTCAGTGTTCAGTTCACAACATTGTTTGTGAGAATCTACACCATAGAAATAGGCAAACAATGCAACCAAGGACTTCCTGTCACCTCCAGGGACTCGGTTTTCCAGCAACCAGTGGACCCAGTAAGCTAATATGGGCACCGCCTGTATCCTCCATAACTTTGAGGAAGGAAAACTAGCACATGTGTGTGTCTCTAACAATTCATTCTGTACTTACACAACACAGACAGAAATTGGAATTCTCTACAGCCTCAATTATTCTGTAAAAACCAAAGAGTTTTACTGAATATCAAATGTGTTTTTCAATAGATTCTGTCATTTACTATCAATTAAATATCGAGACAGTTGGAGTAGTAAGATGATCAAGGGAATAACACAAACTAGGCCAAAGAGAACTGAAAGGCAAAAGGAGAAATCTTTGAAAGTTTGCATGCACCTCCCAAATTTATTCGAAGCTTAATGAACTTCCACTCTCGAGGGAATCTAGACATTGTGTTTTCAAGGATGTGAAGGACAATATACCCTGAAGGACTGGACAGTGGCTGCCCATAAATTTCCTAAGCACTACTGGATCATAAGGTCTAATTCTTACTCCTTGTTCAGTAAAATCAGTTTCCATCTCTATGTACTTGGATTCTTATCTTTGATGAACATGATGATTTCTGTCTACAGATCACAGGGAGACTGTAAACGCTCCTTTAAGGCAGAACTGAAAGTATCACACACTGCAAGAATCAAGTGCTTTGCTGGGGCTCTGCACATGGGAAGATTTTAACTTATCCACCATAATGCAAGGAGCACAAGGGGAGGTTTTTTCAAAGGTCAGTGTAGGAGGTGAGAACAGGCTAGCATTGAGGCCACTGTTTCTGGTTGCTTTACTTAGAGGGTTTCTGAGGCTCAGAGATTCAGAGATGGCAGTTCTTTGATTCTCAAGTTTTTTGATCTCCATAGTTTCCCTGAGAACAGTGACAGTCCAAGCCTTGGAGACTGCTGCAATTTCTGTGGTATGGATCCATGATAAAAAGGAGATGTTCTGGCCTGAGGTGATTCTGCTGAGATAGATCCAGACTAAGTGTCCATGGGACTTGTTGGGTCCTTTAGCAAATGTGAGTTTTGTTGGAACACAGCCAAAAGAGTGATGCATGGTCAACAATACCCTGGGGAACTGTGAGAGAGGCTCCAGGTACAAAGGCAGAGGGCCCTTTACCTCAAGTGCATTTCATTCCCTGGATTGTTCATAGACATTATTTTGTGCTGCCTGTCACAAACAATTGCATTCAATTTATAAGTTATGTTGATTCTTGTTGGAAGAGAGAACATAGCTATGGAAGCCAACCTGGTCAGTGTGCCTTGAATCTGGATATGCCCTCTGCCTCGCTTTCACACTTTCCCAGATATAATCTATAGTATTGCCAGGCAATTATGTTTAAACTGGCCTGTCCTGAGAAAGTTTTGGAAAGGGAAGCTCTGTTAACATTTAATATGTGCTTACTGATGTTTATTTACATGTGTTTCTGATCCCAAACGACCCTCTTGAGACCATTGCTTTCATTGTTTCATTCGTGTATAGAGTCCACTGAAACTGAAGCAAGGTTGTCTCAGCATCAGACTGTATTCGCCCCATTCTTCTGAGTTCTCAAATCCTGATCCCAGGTACAGCAGATCTGCACAGGTCCACTGAAAAGTCAACAATTTTAAAACTTCTTAAAAATGTATATGTAAATTTGTGTACCTTCATGTGCATATGTGCAACTTATGTGTGCAGGTGCCCAGGAGGGCCAGAAGAGGGCACCTAATTCCCCAGAACTGGAATGGCAGGGGTTGTGAGCAACCTGATGTCAGTGCTAGAAACCAATCAGGCCCTCTATAAGAATCATGTGCAGCTATGAATGGAAATATCCAACAGAGGCTCCAGTATTAAATACTTAGTCCCCGTTGGTGATGCTATTTGAAGAAGAGAAGCAAGACTGTCACTGGAGATGAGCTTCAAGAGCTTAAAGCCTCACTCGACTTCCACTTTGCTCTCTCTGAAAATGAGGTGTGAGCTCCTCATTTCCTGATCCTGCTGCCTTTCTCTCTGCCTTGATGAATTCTCATCCCTCTAGAACAGTGAACCATCTGGTAGACTCACTGAAATATCATATATTTATATTACAATTTATACCAGTAGCAAAGTTACAGTTATGAAATAGCAACACAAATAATTTTATAGCTGGGGGTAACAACAACATAAGGAACTATATTATATGATCAAAGCATTAGGAAGGTTGAGAATCACTGTCCTATAACCATAAACACAAATAAACTCTTCCTTGTATACATTCCCTTGGTCATGGTGTTCTTCAAAGTCAAAGAAAAGTAACTAACACATACAGTAAGTACTTTTACACAACATCTGCCTGTGTCTGTGAGTCATATTCAGAGACGGGTCACCATGGCTCTCACATAATCATCAATGAACTAATCTGTTGATGGAATCATGAGACTAGCAGTATTGATAAGTACTAAACAGTAGGAGGTGGGTCTAATTGGAGGAAGTTGGTCATGGGGTGACATGTCCACAGAAGCTATATCTCACCACTTCCTGTATCTTGTTTTCCATTCTTCCTGAAGAAGTGAAGAACAGAATCAGCCAACACTCATGTCACCATGATACTCTGTCCATAAACATGGAGCCAAGTTGCCATGGGCTGAACCCTCTAAAACAGTGAGTGAAAACAAACCTTTCCTAACTTGAGTTGTTCTTTGGGATTTTGATCACAGTGATGTAAAATTAATAACATAGCATATGAAGGGCAGGAGCCAGGAGCACAGTGCCTGGGCCCCTAGGAACTGAGGGAACTCAACTGTTTGGTTAAACTGCAAAGTAATGTCTCTGTTAAAGAAGGAAAAAGAGACTGAAAGACAAATTCCTGGGTAATCAAGGAATTCTGAACTGTGACGTAGGAACCTACTTTCCCATGGTGCATCAGGTGCACAGCACAGATCCGGAGAAGCCTCTTTCTGTTTATATTTCCTGTTAGACAATCTTTGTCATAGTCAGATTTTGTCAACTTGACACAAATCTAGATAGACCTGAGAAGAGGGTATCTCAACTGAAGACCTGCCTTCATCAGATTGGACTGTGGGAATGAATGTTTATGAGGTGTTTTCTTCTTGGATAACTGATGAAGGACAGCATAGACCACTGTGGGCAGTGCAAGGCCTGGGCAGATTGGCCTATGCTGCACAAAAGAGGTTACTAAGCAATCCAGTATGCAAGACTCATTGGTGAACTCTGCTTTGGTCTCTACCCCCCAGGTTCCTGCCATGGCTTCCCGTAAGATGGACTGCAATTTGTAAGCGACAGAAACTCTTACCTTATCTGAGTTGGTTTTAGTTCATGTTTTATTGCAGCAACAGGAAACCAAACTAGGCCAATCACATAGATCTCATCATGAGTCTAAATCCATCTTTCTAAGTCATCTTCCCTTGTGGACTAATTCTGCAATGGTGGTGGAGTGGATATCTTTGGCTTATTTTTAAAACACCCACTTTAGGAAACAAAGGAGTCTTAATAAGTATAGTCAAACTCAGGAGGCAGAGTATTCTATGTTATTAGACAACTTCCTTTCCTGAAGAGGGAATTAAAGTTTGTCCATTTGTGTTACATGCCTACTAAACCCAGTGTCATATTCAAAGCCCTTAATAAAAGTGTATTCTGTGGCCCAGTCTTGAGCAGAAAGCAATAAGAAGCATTAGTCAACCTGCTGGGTCATGCGTTGGCGTTAAGGTCTGGGTTCTGTCTCCCGAACACAAGAAGCTGTTTGAGGACAAGTTGCTTGCAGGTGAAATTGTTTTTTCATATTCGTATCTGTGTGGACACAGGAAACATTGCTGTGAGGAACTGAGTGCAATGAGAGCATCTGCAGATTACTGACTCCTGCTCCCTGAAAACACAGCATCCAGAGCATGTGCAGACACATTTCCACAGCAGTCATTGTCATCATCATAAAAACTTTAAACACACACACACACACACACACACACACACACACACACACACACACACACAAATAAACCAATAAACAAACAAATAAATAAATAAGTAGAAAAAGAAATCTAAATCATTACAATAGGCAAGACAGGTATCTGCAGGAATAAATCCATAACTGCATGAATTGGGTATGGTGTCCCATGCCTGACACTTTAACACTTGAGAAGTAGATATAGGAGAATGAAAAACTCAAGGCCACCCTCAGCTATACAGCAAATTTGAGGACACATGGCCTTCGTTGAAGCCTGTCTCAAAGAGAGAGAGAGAGAGAGAGAGAGAGAGAGAGAGAGAGAGAGAGAGAGAGAGAGAGAGAGAGAGTTAGAGAGAGAGAGAGAGAAAGAGAGAGAGAGAGAGCACAAACTTGAATGAATAAAGGTAAGAAATCAATATCATCGAAAGAACTTGATAATCACCCAAAATGTACCTCTTCTTTACAGTTAGCTTTCAATTCTCTACATGTAAGGTGACATCGCTTTCAGATCCTCTAATGTCAACTCTGTGGTTTCTAAATGACTGTTTCCTAGAAATAATTGGGCTGAGATAAAGAACAAAAGAAAGAAAAAGAAAAAGGCTCCCTGAAGAAAAATTAAGAAGACAAAAGCTTTAGAAAGACACAAAACAATATAACAAATCAAGACAGCTACTCTGCATTCTCTGATCTGTGGTCCTACCCTTCTTTTCTGAGAATTCAAACAATCAATCTCCTGTGTGTTCATTAACTCCAACAGAAGAAAAAGTTCACATATCATAACAAGAGATGACTGAATCCACCTGACAATACAGTGTCATGGGACCAGAAATGCTAACAGCAAAATACCAAAGTATCACTACTTAGAAGGCAGCAGCAGGAGGACTGCCCAAAGTTTAAGGCCAGCCTGAGCTACATAGTATATTCCATGCAAACCTGGGCTATATAGCAAATCCCTGTCTCAGAAAGGCAAAGCAAAGGGGATCTGGAGAGATGGTTCAGTGGTTAAGAGCACTTCTTGCTCTTGAGAATCCAGCTTCATTCTTCCAGCACCTGCATGGTACCTGACCACCACCTCTAACTCAAGGAGAAACCCTTCTGATCTCTGTGGGCCCCGGAAGCACACATGGTTCACACGTATTCATGCAGGGAAAACTCTGACACACATCAAATTGGTGAAAGATCTTAAAAACAAAAGGAAAGATAGAAGAAGGAAATGATGAAGAAGAGTAGAGGGGAGGCAGGAGGAAGAGGAAGAGGAGGGAAGAAGCAGACAAATTCCTAAGGAAAGAATGACGGGGAATTACAAGGAAATGGCACTGAGCTGGCCTAGAGGTTTGCAGTTCAGAGGCAGGTGGAGAACAGCAGACATCAGCGAGAGGCATGCCCAGGACAACCGTGCAGCCCTGACCTGTTCTGAGGGACGTTCACCCTGCCAGCCTGTGAGGGCTAGGGAGACAGTGAGAGACTCAGAGAGTCATTCTAATGGAGACATGAGCTAAGTATTCAATCTAGATAAAGAACTGAGCTCCATAACAAAGAATAGCATGACTCTGTGGTAGGAAATATTATTTTGTATATCATTGAATATTAAGGTGTTAAAACTAATAAGACCACAGACAAACAGAAGAAAGAACTGAAAACAAACCCAAGAAAGCAAGAAAGGGGGTAAGAGTTAAGAAATATAATTTCACTTTTATACTTTCCTGTGTTATGATACATTGGTAAACATAAAAACAAAATCAGCCTTGACATTGGTCTATCCCTTGCTGACCCATGATTATGTCACACTGTAGACCCCTTGTAACTGTAGGGTCTAAATAGTCCTGATGAATGACTCAGCACAAACTTTGGCAGATTCAGAGAATCTGTTCAGGTGTCTCAACTTCATGAAAGCAATGTCTCAAATTCCCACTTCACAATGGACAGGTTGAGACCTGAAATGGACCCAGGCTGCAAGAGTCACAGATCATACCAGCAGAATGGAGAATATATCTTCTTATTTCCATATTAGCATTCTGAACTTTGGGGAAGCAGTGCTCCTCCCAGAGTGAAAATTCTGAGCCTCATTTTCTGTAAGTGAAAGTTGAACCTAAAATATCATGAAGGACTGAAGTACTTACCGGCCCATCAGGAAATGAGGTAGCGACATTAAGAAACACCCTAGGCCCATAACCACACATCCAACACCAATCATGAGAGGCCTGTGCAGCTTCATTCCAAAATAACTCATGAATATAATCAACAAAAGGTTTCCTAGGAAAGGGGAATAAGTATGCTTGTTTTAGTAAAGTAATAGCAGATCTTAGTCAACAGCCTCTCCATCATTTGGACTCAAGGGTTCATTGTTTAAACAACTACCTTAAGGATACAGGGATGGGTGCTTGGGAGCTTTTGGACAATTGTGACCCTGAGGGAAGGTTCTGCTCCAATCTGGAAAATATTAAGGACTCTTTCAGGATTGTGCAAGTCCTCCACAAACCACATATTTTTAGTTTGATGAAGATATTTACTCTGCTCATACTGTGCATAAAGGAAAGATCAGAAAACTCACACTTCTTTGATGACTTAGCAATCTCTAAGTGATCTCAAATACTTGAAAGATATATAAAGACTTTGTTTTTCTTCAAATTCTACTTCTGTCTAGCCTGCTATCTAAGTAGAAGAGATGCTGTTTTATTTTGTATGATGCATGCCCCACCTCCATATCCTTATTGCACCTATGACAGCCTGTCTCCCTTTCTAAAAGCCCTGTCAGTGTGGTCATAATGCAGAAGGCAATGTTCCAGGACACTCACTGTTTGAAGTCTCTGGGCATCTTTCTAGTCTATGACTATACCATCCTGAACACACTGAATCTTATCTGAAATCTCTATTGTTTGAGAGGAAAAGCATCCCTTCCTCACATTAGGCTTAGATTGCCTTTTATATTGCCTTGCTGTGTCCTTCAAGTAATTGATGGGAAGGTGTGGGGAAAGAGGTAAAGTGTTGCCCAGGCTAGAGGAGATTGTGTGCAAAACTATCTGACGAAATGCCCACCAAGTGCTGCATTCACCTACCAATGTGAATTACTTCCTCTCACAACTATTTCTATTAAGATTTCCCCAAGTCAACCTATCACATCCAATGCTGGTGGAAGGAGTTAATATTTTCTAATTTAAACAGGACTTTTTAACCTTTAGTCTAAAAACCAGAGTTCACAGAAACTAGCTTTCCCAAGAAACTCAAGTTTTCTGGGAACTGGGAGAAAATTATTTTCCATAATCATTAACTGGCATAAACATTTCTGTTCATGATAAAGTAGGAAGCAGTAGTGACATGAGCAGCCATGATTCCATCACCAATAGAAGAATAAATAGTGGCTTCTGACATCACAGTTGTAAATACTGCAAAATGTCATGGAGCCAATAATCACTTGAAATTCAGATCCAGATAAGGTTCACCTTGCTCTTTAAAAAGCACGAATATTCCTGGTTTATGGGTTGTTTAAATGTCCTCATAATTCTGCTTCAGTGTAACTGGCTTCCTCTTCAAGTATATAGTTTCATTTTATGCAATTAAAATATTATCCTGAAATCAGATGGCATTAGGTTTTCAATATGAGTCCTCAGCATAGAAATTTCAGTACCCTCTTCTAACCCTATACTGGCTCTCTTCCACCAGAGGGATAAAAGATACACTGTAGAACAATACACAGACTACCCATTTCACATCCTAGCACATCTCTCCAGGATCATGCTCTAACACATTTCACCTTCCCATAGTACAGTGCTGACTACATCCCCACACAAACCATTTGATGGTTCATCCTCTGTACAAATCTCCCCTCACATTTACCTGTCCACTTCTCCACCTGGAAAAACTTTACTCCTTCAGGAGACTGACCTCCCTAGCACAATGTGTTCTGTAAGACCTTGGATAACCAATGGGCTGCACTTGCTGCATCTAACACACTAGAACATGACTAATTCTGTGAAAGGTCTATGGAAGGCGTTCATCCTGACTGCACTGTGAAGGCCAAGGACACAGGGGGCAGAGCAAGCACTAAGGAGATTGATCCTGGAGACAGGATGGAGCATCCTCAGTGTGGGTTAGGTACTTCATAGTCTTGTTGTTTTGATTAAATACATTAAAGACAATTTCACCTTGAAGGAAGTAAATAACAAGAATAAAAGGCTTCCAGGTCACTTTGTCTAAAGAGGGCATCTTTCCCTCCTTTACCCTTTATACTCTCATATCCCAGTTCTTTACACAAATTCAGGGGCTAAAGTTCATTCACTCCTCTTAGCAATCGTGTCTGACACAACTCAAACACAGGAAAGCACCTTCATCTTACAGGTGACTCGGAGTGGAGAGCTGCCAACCTCACAGACACAGTGGGGGAGAGAAGCACCCGCTCTCTTCTTCAGTTCCTCCAGGCTCCCACAGCAACCTTGAAAATGCCAAAGAAAAGCCCTGAGCTTCTCTTTGATTTACCAAATGATAGAATTAGATATTAATACACTAAATCTTCAGCCTCTTGTCAAAAAAAATGTGAGGGTATGTGGCAATAATTAGATGCTATCCTGGAGATATTTAAATAGTGCTTTCTTTACAACCAAACCAGGCTATTCAATCACATCAGGAAGCATGTACCTCAGTCAGATCAATAGTCTAATGCAGGAAATAAGGAGAGAATGTCAATGTTTAACAATAAATAAATGTGAAAATCACTCACCAATCTCAAAGCTCCCATTGATCAATCCAACTATAGATGTGGGGATATCAAATTGTCTCTCTATTTGTGTGAGCATGGAATACATATAAGTTCCTGATAGGGATTTGGCTACATATGCTACTGCCAATGCCAACAGAAACATCTACGAAGAAAAACATTTAAGAAAAGGTGAGGACTTCATTTTCTGATTATATATCCTCGATCTACTGATAAAACAGCCTCTACCATGAGGTGGAGGATTGTATCCAACATAAACAGTACCTGAACACCTAAGAAACTTTAAAGTGTAATCTCCACTCGGTCATGGTGTCCTAACTCTGGAAATGCAGGGTTAGAATAGCTGGTTAGCAGTGGTGAGTTCTGTAGTTGGGTATGGTTTTGCTCATGTATCAGTGTCCCTTATTCATATAGAAAGACATGGAGTTATTCAATGTAAGACACAGCTATTGATGGCTCTTCAGCAATATACTGTTATCCTCGGGACAAGTGTTGTCTACTTTAAGGAAGGGAAGGAACAGAACACAGAATTATACCACGGCGTCATTTCTGCAGCAAGCCTACTCTGTTCTATCTGTAGGAATGACAGGTCTCTGGATGTCCTTGACCAGTTCAATACTTGCTGGTTTTTTGTTTGTTTGTTTGTTTGTTTGGTCCTCTTTGTCTACATTCTTGAGAACAAGCTACATTCTCACTGATGGAGGCAGCGTGACCTGTTCTATTTTTCTTCCTGGGGCAATATGCCCTATAACCCTTTATCTCAGTAGTCCAAGTGGTGTTCATGGCATGAAAACACAGGACAGAACATTTTGGGTTCTCTTGGATGCAGGATGAAGTGTGGCTATGTCCTGATAAGACTCCCCACTACCTGCCTGTTACTAATGAACCCTCTTTGAACGATGTAGTAAATGAGCTTCCTATTTTCCTCAACTTCTCTTCCAGCAGCTAGTTGATGGCAAATGTCATCATCCCAGCCTCTGGAACTTCTGCAATATAGCATCTGAAATAATAGGCAAATTATACTGTGTTAGATGAGTATTTACTGCTTGTAAATTTATTGTCACCAGTACCAATTAATTTGGATAAATGAGAACAGAAATAAATGAAAAAAAAAGAATTGGGAAATGTGAACACCAAGTTCAGTATAACTCAAAATGACTCTATGATTGTAAGAAAGTAACTCCAGCTCTAGAAGTTTGTATTCTAACTCCAAATGCCATTTGCAGAGAAGTTCTCTCTTCCCACTACAAATCCTTCAGAGGATGTAATTGATACTTGATAATTTTCACATGAGTTTTATAATTCAGGTCCTATATTTAAAAGCAAGATCTATCAAATTAAAAAAATCAAGCTTAAGGAGATCTTTTATTTGATTTGTGTTTTTGAAGAAGAAAGTTAAGCAGGTAGTGAGCACACTGCTCTTTGTCTAAAGCATTAGGTTCTGGGCAGAAAGTGAATGAAACTAGTGTCAATGTTGGTTCAGGTCCACTGCTACACAACATCTGTATTTATAAAGCCAGCCTGCTGACTGCTCACCTCAGCACTCTAGAGTCTGAAGCAATTTCCTTTGGAACTTAAATTCCTTTTGTTAACACAAGTTCACATTTGGTGATGCAAAGATGCCTTTGGAAATATGAGAAGGACAATTGTCTCTAAACTACTGAAAACCACCAAAACAGTGAACAGAGTGGACTTTCTTTCTTTTTCTTTTTTTTTTCTTTACAAAACAGTGATTTTAGTATTGCCAAAACTTGAAGAAAATATTTGTCTGACTGGGTCATGAAGTCTTCTTTGCGTATCATTCAACAGAGCACTTCTGTTGGGGAACTGTTTCCTAGCTGTGACCCCTGACCTTCTGTCAGGAACCCCAGAGGGCTGAGCACTGGGGTTCTGACTTCTGACTTCAGACTAAATTCCACAACCTATACATTTTAAATGTAATACATACCTAAAACATTTTAAATCTCATCCACATTTAAAATCCTCTAAAGCATTCTTATTAAGTGTCTTGCTTGAATTATCTTGGTTAGACATTCCTAATTATAAAATCAATTTCTTTAAGGCAAAAAATTAACAACAACTTGGGTAAAATGGCTTTTGTGTTGGAAAACTTCATGTAATCTGAGCAATGTTACAAGGACTATCAAAGCTTAATTAAAAGACTCTCATGCACATATACAGGCATACAAGCTAACAATCCATACCTTGATCTTGGAAAAACATCTTAGCCCATGAGTTGCAACCCTTTTCTCAGGTTCTGCCATGTTTTTCTTCTGATTCTTTCCAGATGTCTATGCTTTAAATGTCTTACTGCTGTCTTTGCAAGAAAACAGACAGTTGTTAATTAAATTATTTACTGAACTGTAACAAGTCATTCTTTTTCTTTTCATTTGAGGTTGAATTGTTTTTCTTTCTTTTTTTTTCTGGCATACATTACATCCTGACTTGCAGTTTCCCCTCCTTACATTCCTCTCAGTCCCTCTCCCCCCTCCCTCCCCCATCCATGCCTTTTCCATTTCCCTTAAGAAAAAAAAAAAGCTGCCATTCCAGGGATATCAACTAAACATGGCATAATAAGTTACAAGAAAGTAAACACAATCCCTTATACCAAAGCTGGACCATGCATCCCAGTAGGAGGACAGTTGTTAAATTATTAAACCAGACAGTTGTTTATTTACTGAACTGTTACAAAGCATTCTAAAAAAAAAAACCTCCCTTAAAGCCGGGGTGTCCTACTCGGGGTTTCTATTACTGTGAAAATACCAGGACCAAAAATAAATTAGAGGGGAAAGGTTTTACTTTTGCTCACAGTTCTATATCACACTTCACCACCCAGAAAAGTCAGGGCTGAACTCACAGCAGCAACCTGAATGCAGGGCAGATGCAGAGGCCATGGAGGAACGCTGCCTCCTGCTTTGCTCCCCAGGGCTTGCTCATCCTGCTTTTTTTTACAAACAGACCTGTCTGCCAGGATGGCCCCAGCCACAGTGAGCTGGACCCTGTCACCTCAGTCATCAATCAAGAAAATTCACCACAGCCTAGACCATCAGTCAATTATCTGGGACATTTTCTCAGTTGAGGTTCCCTTTTCCCAAATGGCCCTAGCCTGTGTCACATTGACATAAAACTTTCCAGCGCAGCTGTGTAGGTGGTTCACTGGGTAACATGTTTGATTCCTAAGCTCAATTTGAATTCTTAATGACCAAGTAAAGAGCTGAGCTTCTCTGCATCTGCCTGTAATGCCAGTACTGGAAGAACCCAGACATCAGGATCACTGCAGTATGCCAACCTGGCACTCAAACCAAATGAACAAAAGACAAATTCAGTGAAGAAACTCCATCATAAAGCCTAAGATGTAGTATTCTAGAGGAAGACACTCAGCATTGACTTATGGCCTCCATAATATACACACCTGTATATGTGCACTTGCACCTGCACACATACTTATGTATATACACAAACCCATACACACTGTATACACATACACATACACATACACACACACACATACAGAGAGAGAGAGAAAGAGAGAGAGAGAGAGAGAGAGAGAGAGAGAGAAAGAGAGAGAGAGAGAGAGATGTTGTGTGATATTTTGTTTGTCTATTGATAAATAAAGCTTTCTTGGGGTCAGAGGGCAGAGCTAGCCAGTAGTTAACCATAGAGGTTTGGAGGACTATAGAGAAAGGGACAGGAAGTTGTAAGGCAGGGCTGAGACAGAATCTTGGCCCTTTTGAATGGAGAAATAGAAGAGGTAGGAAGTCACTGGTGGCTGCTCCCTGCTCTTCTGATCTTTCAGGTTTTTACCCCAATATCTGACTCCTGATTTTTATTGGTAATATTAATTAGATTTACCCTTCATTTGGCATTCAACTTTTGGGGCATGAATTCATGAAATAGCCACTTGCCAGTGGCTTTGCAGCCACTGGCACCCACTGGAGCTGCATGTGGAAACTGCAGCCCATAGAGTCACTGCAACACTGGCTGGCTTCCCCTTTCTTCCCCGAGCCCTCTGAGCAAGTCTGAGATCTTTGTGTTGCAGCCTCTCAGCAGCAAAATCCACAAGCCCCAAACTCCATGGGCACCTGGGCTCCAAATTCCACTGGAGTTAACACCTCAAGACCGGCCAGCTCTGTCTTCAGGTAGCTCTGCGCTTTCACTTCCTGCTGGTCACACAAGATGCTTCCTCATGTTCCCCAGTGTCTGCCTTTCAGATTGTTGGCTCTTTTGCTTCTTTTCCCTGTGGGTTGTTGGCTTTCCTTGGACCCCGTCCTCATGCTAGTGACACATAATCAGTGGCAGCTGTCCTCACCCAGACTGTGTACCATCTGTGTTCTCTGCTCAGACATGCTACACAGTAGCAGCCAGCCTCACATTTCACCATCATCTTCAGCAGATTTATTTGAGATGATTGGGAATTCTTAAATGGAGGAATAAGTATTTTAAAAAGAGTTTTTTCCCATGTTAAAAAAAATGGGAAAGACTATGACAGTGAGGTAGGTAGGTATTGGTATGATTACTCAATGGATATTTTAAAAATGGCAAAAGTGGAACAATTAAATGAGGGGATAATTAACTTAGTTGTGATTTACATAATGTTAATTATAATCATTATTAGGTTGATAATTCTTGTTTTGTCCCTCAAAAAGTTGCTTGATATGAGTGCCAATATACAGGCCTTAGAAAGAGTTACCAGAGAAAATATTTTCATTTTGTCCGGTAAATTACAAGCCTTAGATAAACATACTAAATCATACAATAGAGATGTTCAGACAAAGACAGAGGAATTTAAAGGAGAACCAACCTCACCATTACATTATAAAATTAGAGAGGAGCAGCCCAAGGTTGCAAAACAACCAATGTTAATTCATCTAGTCATCTTACAGGAACAACTGCCAAATGACAGGCATCCCCTAAGGCTTTGTGTGAATTGACTGGATTCCTGTGGAAATATAAGATTTGAGGAGATTTAAGGAAGGAATAGTCTCATAAGATATGCATTTACCTTTGTGAAGCAGATGTTAAATTCATGGTCAACTAGTAACAGAATTATCTCACACAACTAGAGAAACATAGTTACAGCAGTATTGGAACCTGGTCCTCAATCACAGTGGAAGACCTGGTGGAAAGATGAGGCTAGGACCATTTAAAACAAAGTAGGGAAACAAATTATAGTTCATGCGTTTCCACTAGTTTGGCTATTTGTTCCTGTGCTTTTTCCAATCATGGTCTCACTAATGCTCGCTTATACAATCCCTCCTCATTCTCGCTGATTGGACTCCCGGAACTCCACCTGGGGCCTGGCCGTGGATCTCTGCATCCGCTTCCGTTAGTCATTGGATGAAAGTTCTAGCACAACAGTTAGGGTGTTTGGCCATCTGATGACCAGAGTAGGTCAATTTGGGCTTTCTCTCGACCATTGCCAGTAATCTATTGTGGAGGTATCTTTGTGGATTTCTGGGGACCTCTCTAGCACTTTACTTCTTCCTATTCCCCTGGGGTCTTCATTTATCATGGTCTCTTTTTCCTTGTTCTCCCTCTATAAGCCATATTCTAGAAATTAATTTCACAAGATTGGATGCACAGTTTCCATCCGTGTACACATTATTCTTTTGAAATATCTGGTTGCTTTTCTATTGTTGCTGTGTATGTAAAGAGTATGAGGGGAGCATTAAATATAAGTCAAGCAAGGAGATATTGGATTGGATCTATTCTTATGTATGGAGTTCAATGAATAAATCTTTTTGCTCTTAAAAAAAAAAACAAAGTAGGATAAGAGGTATTAAAGTCTCCCAAGACCACCTTCTTGGAGAGTGAAATTATGCTGATATACAAAGACAATCTCCATATGATGACCACACCCTGGCTTTACACCACACAGCAGCCTTGAATGCTTTGGGCAGAATTGAAGAAGTTGGAAAAAGAACTGAGTCATTTACTAAAGTTATAAAGGGTCCAAGAAACCTTCATTAATTTTTTTTTAGACAGTAAATAGAATGATACCAAATTCAGAAGCTAGACAAATAATAATTGAATCTCTGGCTTTTGAAAATTCTTATTCACAATGCAAAGGGGTAATCAGCTTTTAAAGGCAAGATCATCACCCATAAAATGGATCTGAGATACAGTTAATATTGGATCTCATAATCATGATGATGCTTGTATAAGAGAGGTGATTTGCAGAGGCTTGAAGAAAAATTAAAATGTCAGGTGTTTTAATAGGCAAACAAGGTCACCTAATAAGGGAGTGTAGAAATGGCATTCCTAGAAACAATGTTTCTTCTAATACAAACAAAAGGAAAAGGCCCCTGCATTCTGGAGTATGCAGTTGGTCAAAGGCCAACATTGGACCAATGAATACAGGTCAACAAGGGACAGGCAAGGTAACCCTTTGCCATCAGGAGATGCCTTGGGGGGGCCTCTCCCAGGCACTCATGTCAAATTTAATTCAGTCATTCCCTGTCAGTGTGGGCTAAATTCCTCCCCAGAGCAATTCAAGGATCTAATGCCTATTATAAAAGACCATACTGCTCTGATGACAGAACAGCTTTAGAAGAAAAAACAAAAATGTCAGGAGAAATCATAAAGCAAGTATTTTTGCAAACTTGAATAATCAAAGACCAAAGCTAAAAATATAATAAATTACATTGTAATTGATGGTCTTGTAGACAGACACAGGCAGATGTAACAATAATTGCACCAGAACCTTGACATCAAATTGGCCTCTTCAGGAGGTAAATGTTCAGTTTTAAAGGATTGGAGCTTTATCTCAGGTAAAACAAAGCTCAAGATGGGTCGAATGTATAGGATCCGAAGGACAGAGAGAAAAATTAAAGCCATATGTGGCTAATATAACAATTAATTTATGGGTATGTGAATTGTTACAGCAAAGCAATACCCAGATTAAAATTCCTCCCATCTCAGAAACAAAGCATAAATTAACATAAGCTCCTGAAAAACATATTAAAAGGCATTATATAAAGCAGTCGCTGACCATTCAGATTATATATAAAGAGAGCACAACATAAAGAAAGCCAACCTTTCAAAAGTACCAACAGCCCTACAATTAAAATGGTTAACTGACAAACCTGTCTGGGTGGAGCAATGGCCTTTGATATCAGAAAAATTATAGGCCTTAGTACAGCTGGTATAGGAACAGTTAAAGGCTCAACATATTGAAGAATTGACCAGTCCTTGGAATTCTCATGTATTTGCTATTATAAGGAAATCTGAAAAACAGAGAATAGTAATAGATCTAAGAGCTATT